ATGAGTGGTAGTGATTAAGAAGCCTTGGTGTTTTATAGACAATCAAGAAAGCGAAGAGGACGTAGAAAGTATTGGGTACATCCTTATGTTAAAACAAATATTCAATGTAGGCTCTTTGTAGCTGCCGCTGCATTACAAGAAACACGCAAAATTTCAGCCTATGTACAGGATGTCACAAAGTACTTACGAAACGTTATCGCAGTTGGTATGCCCGATCCTTGAAAAGCGCAATACAAATATGCGAAAAGTTGTTCAAACCAGGCGACTGAAATCACCTAGCAACCGGCAGGTCCGGTTGCTTAACGACTGATCGCCGACTGGTCCTCAACTGGTCGCATCGCAGTCGCCCCGTGTGCACTGTCCCACCTAACTACATTGGTCGGGACGCAGACGACTAGTTTGTCCGACTAGTTGCCGATTTCAGTTGGAAAACAGTCTTCCCGTGTGTCGACGGCCTTAATTTGAGCCCTCTCCCGTCGTTCTACGACTTCCCAGTCGCCCACAATTTTGACGCAAAGAATCGGTACGTAATTAATATAGTAGATATTCTAGTAGACACTCTCTAATTATTTACCTAAAAAGAAAGTTTCCTGCACAACTTAAATAAGTACTTAAATAAGCACAACTTAAATATTAAATAAGTATAATAGATAGATACTTATTTAATACGCAAGCAGGATTTTTGTGACAATTACTCCTCCGAAACTACTGAACCGATTGACATGTTTTTGGTGTCATTGGAAAGAGCGTAACGTGAAGTTGTGCAGGAAACTTTCTTTTAGGGAAATAATTAGAGAGTGAGGCCCTGGGGACCTTTAAAGTTTCGTATTTCTCCATAAGATTAACATGGGAAACAAAAATTGTTTTGAAACTCCAGCTGTTGTCAGAAATTAAATATTCATAATTGGTCTCCATGGAAGCATGATAAAATTCACAATGTTTACATTTGCTTTGACATTTAAATGTAAACAACCAGAACTGTCAGATGCCTATTTTACAATTTCAGACAGCCGATAAAAAAAATAAAACAACTATGTGGTAGGTTTATTTAATCTTAACCTTTATGAAAGATTATTTATTATAAATCTATTTCAATGATTATGAAACAGATTTTTCCCGTTGCGAAGCAAAAATTTATAGTTAGAAGAAGAACATATTTTAATTGTAAACAGTCAATGTGTAAATTATCTAGGCTATGTTGTATTACAAATGTGTATAGTTTTGGATGGTGGGTTGTGTTAAATGATATAAGTTACCTATTTATTAGTTATTAAATTTTTATTTTAAGGATTTGGCATATGTGTAAGCCTATGATAAATAACACCATTTCAGAGTTCTGCCAGTTTTTGCCTAACTCTGTCCTGTAGAGTTTAAAGTAGCCTACACCTTATTGTCTACAAATTGGCTAAATAACTTAGGTACGGTACTTTATAAAAGCTTCCAGCCTTTTTACGTTGACTTAAATTGTAAGCTTACCTTTTCCCGTCCATTGGCAGTTTGATTGTTCAAAATTCACCCTTTAAACTGGAATAGGACTGTGAATTGTGAGTATTTCCATTGGTTAATGATCTTTTAGTTGACTCTTTTAAAACCATTGGAAATTATGACTGTTATTAGTTTTTAAACAAGTAATTTGTTTATAAATAACTCCTGTACTTCTTTGCAATTGCTCGATTTAGAGCAACATGTACACTAGTATAGATAGATAGACTAGTGGCCTGTAGGGGCCATAGCCCCTAATTTAGACTACAATAAAAAACTATATATAAAAAGACAAATAATCGAAATATGTTTTTAAAATTATCTATAGATAGATAGACTAGTGGCCTGTAGGGGCCATAGCCCCTAATTTAGACTACAATAAAAAACTATATATAAAAAGACAAATAATCGAAATATGTTTTTAAAATTATCAATTTTATGTTACTTAAAATTAACAGTGTTTGTAAAATAATGATTAAATCAATAACACAACATATTAACAAATGGAAACGTGCACACGGTTTGGCCTGAGCCCGGAGAACCACGAATCAGAGCTGAAATCATACAGTTAAACATTGCACATCTTTTCTAGTTTAAAATTGATGATCTTAGGAATTCTGTTATAGTTTCCATTTTGAGAACCAAATGTAAAGGTTAAAATTATTATTAATTATTATGAAGGCAATTCCCCATTTCGCGGTAGTAAGTAAAAAATATATCTATGAATTTGTCCCTGAATTTTAAGACAGTAAGGCCCATTTCCCGGAATCTCTTTTTGTGTAGCGGAAAGCGACGCAAAAGCCATTGCACTGTTGTATTGTCTTATGTTTTTTATGAAGTTCGAATCATGTAAAAACAGTTCTTTTAGTTCGTCATTTGCTTGTGGTTGTGGCATGTCCATTGTGGCAAAATGCGTTGAAATGTCCATTTGTGGCCTCCTCTGCAAAATGAAATGCGCCACAATGCATGCAAGTGCTTTAAGAGGACCTATATTGTGAGAAACAACAATCAACTAATTTTCCAGCGTTTTTCTAAAGACAGGTTGTAAAACAGCTTCTGGATTTCTTTCACAATTAGGCCCTACATGACGTTCTCTTTTGCATTTTATTAAGTCTGTTGAATTCCTGGACACTCTTCCACGTCTTTCAGGTCTTCCCCTACCCTGTCTAGTTACTTCACTCATTATAAAAACGGAAAACAAAAAAATTAAACACAATCCTTTTTGAAACATTATTTACCAACATTGTCTTTCGGAATAAATGTAAAATTGCAAATAAATAAGTAACAGCTGATAGAATGCAGACGTTTTTCAGTCCCCATGCATTTCTTATGGTGGATATTTTACGTTATATCTCGTTTTCTGGTAGCTTTATGGGAATTCTGCTATTTTTCCCGAGTCCCTGGGGTCAATACCTTTAATTTAAGACCCCTCCCACTTTTCTGCGACTTACCAGACGTCCACAATTTTCTGGTAAAAATTAGGTCTTACAGAATTATATATATAGATAGATATTTAATTTCCACAAAATCAGTTAATGTAACCAATGCGTTTCGTTGAATTGAAAAACAAAGAACTTAAAGAACAAAGAATTTAAATTAAATTAAACAGCTGATGTAAACAATATTATGTTCTTCGTAAGGATAACATGGGAACTTAAAAAGCCACTGTGGCAGAGGCCAAGGGACTTTTTCAAAAATTGTAGGCCAGTTTGCAAATCTACGCAACACGCTCTTTCCAATGAGACGTCAGTGGATAAAATCGGTTAAGAAATGGTGGAGGATTCAACCGACAAACTTCGTGTTCGCGTATTAATTATATAGATTTCATATGTGCATGAAATGTTGGTGTGAAACCAACTTGTATAACTTTAAGCTAAATGGTTTAAGTTACCTGGCTTCGTCAAGTGATCCTTCTTCAGTATTACACTACTATAGTTTCGGACTTGAAAATAAGTCCATCTTCAGAAAACGTCAATAGGTCATCTAACCAAATTGGTTAGATGACCTATTGACGTTTTTGTTAACCTGAAGATGGTCTTCCAGAGGCTACCTCACCATGTATACCTTTGAAGTAGAGGCTATATTTATTCCCAAAAGGTATCAAACGCCAGCTCCTGATCAAATCTTTTCTATCACTTTAAAGTTTGTTTCGTGTTTTTAGTCTTCACGTACAGAGACTTAAATCTTTGTATTAAATTGTTAGCAATCATAAATCGTGGACAGAATCTTCCACAAAAGATAAATACAATATAGTTTAACACCCTAGAACTCCTTAAAAAAGTATGTTTTGTTAAGGCTTCGTCATAATGTTAAAAATACTCAATACAACAAATTCATTAATTTTACATATGTAAACGTTGATAGTTGTGTGCGTATTGTATTTTAATATATCTTCTGTATACATCTAGTCCTCTATATTTTCTGTGTACACAAATGCTTCTGTATACACTTTTTTTGCAACTCACAGCAACTGAGAAATATTCTAAACTGGTGAACTGTTTTTATAAATTTTTGCCATTATTTCTCAACCCGTGCTTAAAAAATTAGTGACTCGTGGATAAATCCAGATACAAAATTTAATCTAAATCGGACCACAGGTTTTGTCTGTAGCTCTGTATCTGGATCATACAAGTGTGTATTATATAACCTGATATTAGTCAAAATATGTTTTATTCTATAACGTTTAATTTAATTAAACACAAAAGTCATGCTCCCTCCATTTTTAAAGTATTCAGTCCAAAAATGTAATAAATTTACTTGTGCATACATATTTATTTAGTTTTAATAAATAATTGAGGTGATGCAATACACTTATGTAGGCAGTCGCAGCAGTCGAATCCGGGCATAGCGCCTAAAGTTTCACGAACGCAAACCGCGCAACGAGTAGCTAAATGAGCCGTAGAGTAAGTGAGCCATCTAATATTTTGAAGAGGGTTCACTTACTCTACGGATCATAGTGCCAATGAACTGTAGAGTAAGTGAGCCATCTAATATTTTTCTGCAGGCTCGTATAGTATACGAGCCTATTCCTATAATTTATATTATTCATTATTTTGGCTCGTATACTATACGAGCCGATTCCTGAATTATCAAATAATTCGTAAGCTTGGCTCATAGTCACTATGATCTGTAGAGTAAGCGAACCTTCCTACTGTATTTTTAAATATAATACACGAGGCTCATAGACACAATGATTTGTAGAGTAAGTGAACCCTCTTCATTTATTTTTTATTTTCGATAGGCTCGTATAGTATACGAGCCTGTAGTGCAAGTGAACCTTCAATATTATTTACAAAGCTCGTATAGTCTATGATCTGTAGAGTAAGTGAGCTGTCCCCGACAGCGACCCGATAAAACATCTATTACTTCAAAGGATGAAATTATGCAGTAGTTGTGTATCTGTTTGACTGTTTCTAGACAGCTGACAGAACCAAACGAAAGTAATCGTCCAGCTGTCTTTCTTTACTCTTGTCTTTTTCCCGCCAATCAGTAATGGCTAAAAAACACAAGAAACTAACCTAAAACTATTCATATTTCATACGTCATTTCGTTTTGTTCGTTTTACCAGATAGATAACCAATTAATTAATTTTATTAGATAATCTATTATTGATGATCTAATTGAATGTCAAAACCATAATTATTAATGATTGACTCAGATTGAAGGAGAAGTTGCACTAGGCTATAAGTTGTCTGATTCTGTTGTATGAAAAATGACCGAAGGAATTGATTCTTATTTGGCCAACATTGAGGAGTACGTTTTTGACGAAAAGAAAATTGTAAGTAAACAACCCTCATTATTTTGAACAAGACTACAATAAATAAATTTATGTACAACTGAGCAATTTAGGATGATGACCTGTTTATAGGCCTATTTTATAAACTTCTAAACCATGGAATAAGTTAGGCTACTCTCTGGCACGACTCTCAGGCTAGGAATCTTTGCCTCAATCTAAATGGTACTTGAAGTAGTGATGTGCGATTGGCAGTTGTTAAATTTAAATGTTTTAATTATTTGAACCTTCTTGAGCAGTTTCAATTGTGTTTCGCTTAGTGAGAAGGTCTTGTCAAGATGTCCATGGCGAGTATAATAAGCACGGCATCAGCATCTAATTTCTATTTCTTTTTCTCACAATAAGAGCCGAGAAGACCTTACCAAGAAGCTTTTAATGTTTAACACAACAGCGATTCCCCCAATAACTTAAGTATTTCCACACTTTTTACTGTCTCGTTTTCTGACTTTTTGAAAAATCCCATGCTATGAATTTTTTCTTCCTTGGTTGCTTCACATTTCACAGTTAGGCTAAACGCTTAACAACTTGTATACTGGTAACACATTTAAAAGACTTACCAACAATAACATTTAGAGTAGGCCTAAACTTACACTTACGTTATACAATTTTAATCAGGCTTCCTCTATATTGTAGAACACACACCATCCCACTTTAACCCAAAAACCTGTGACTGAGCGCTATAGCTGTAGGAGCTAACAGCGAAGCCAATAGAATCTAAAAAGTGTAGACAGTTAGTTGTAGACAGACATTTTAGCTTAACAAATGCAACAAATGATGCCCACTTGTGGTGTTTTTACTGCTGCTTGTAAAATTTCAAAAATAATCCTCACCAAGGCCTTAAAAACCTTAATGTGTGTTTAGGGTAGTCAAACTACTGGTTAGGCTACTCTTTTGGCGTAGGCAGTACATTTTTTAATCTTAGAACATATTTTTTCTTTATAGTTATCTAATGTATAGGCCCCCTACACTCTACTTACTGCAGTGAATGTATGCTAAATTATGCCTACCTATAGCTTCTGGAGGAGGTACTAAAATTTTAATTATGTCCACAGGTAACTTGCAGTTGGCTGTCAAAAAGTCTTGGTTTACACACCAATTTGAGTAAACAGTGAGTAATTTACTAGTTTACCAGATATACCATTGGAATTATTATAAGTAGCCTAATCACACCAACTAATCATCCTAATAATTTTCTAGTCAAGCTCGGGTTGTGTATTTAATGTTAAAAGAAGTGTTCAATGTTTTTTGGCAACCTTAGAAAGCTCTGTGAGCATGCAAAAAACAAATTTACTGTTACATGTGATCGTGGGAGACTATTAAATTGCTTTCTCCAGTGACCAAGGTAGATGTTCACAATTTTAGCAGGACCCTAAGATCTTCTTAATTTAGCCTTGACCGAGAACAATCCTGATTTCACCATGACCGCAGAAGAATGATTCGTCTTGACCTCGGAAGATGTTCCAAATTTCCCAGTGACCGTGTATTGCAGAAGATGTGGCTGATAGCAGAATGTGTACATGATGTTGATGTGACTGTACAATATGTTCTCAGTTTTGCAGGGATTTAAACAAATCTGGGCCAATATTCACTGCACTGGCCACTTGTGAATCTGTATAATTGAGATAAAGTCTGCTATATCATTATATGTAGCCATTAATTTAATTAATTTAAACTCTAGCGAAGCTATGATCCATTACATATGTGAACAGTACAGTTTTTTTTCTTGTAAAACTATTGAAATGGGCCTACTGGTTATATACATAGTTTTGTCAATGCACTTTTGCTCTACCGTACAATTTAAAATCCAGAAATTTTAGTTCTTCATGTAAATAGATCATACTTATTTGAGATTTGGCCATTGTGTTACTCACTTGGGGATAATAGCCTTGGAACTAATTTTGTGACTAGACTCTGTTTTTAACCTTGACTCACCACGTTCAAGACTATTTTTTCACTAAAAACTTATGACTCTCAGAATATATTCTCTAGTATTAGGCTAAATATATTGTTATGTGCTTGCTAAAACCCACTATACCTTTTTCAAAATTTTATTCCAGGTTGCTGCATTTATTCTTCGAAAGATGTCCAAAGAAAGATGAGCTGTCTTTAACTTACTTATTGATTGGTTCACCCGATAATGATGGACGATGTAAAATCTCGATTGTTAAAGACAAAGATTTGGATAAATGTGAAAGTAGTTGGAAGTTGATTACCTCAAAACACATCTACAGTATGCAGAAATGCACGGATCTGTCTGATCTAAATGTGCTTTATACAGCACAAAAAGAAGACTCAGCTGAAACATTATCCAAGGGGTGAGTGATTTGTGAAAGAGTTGTGGATTTTGTTGTGTTAAAGTAGTAATAAATTAGAAATAATAAGTGTTGGTCATAAACTGATGTTATATGCTGTAATAGTAGTTTACACAAAGATCGCCTAAAGATAGTGTTAATGACAAGAGTAGAAGTTTTTAAGACACTCGCCAAGGCTTGTACCTTAAATTTTCTACTCGTGTCGTTAACACTATTTGATTTGGTATGTCGGTGGCTCAGTTGGTAGCGTCACGGACTTCGGGCCCAAGGCAGCGATGTCGTGGATTCAGATCCTGGTCACTGCCGCAAACATTTTATCAGTACAGTTCACCTTCGTACTGTACCGGCTCACCCCTTGCTTTGCTGGATACGTTCCACGCACAGATCTGTAGTCTATGTGGACGGGCAAATGCATGTTTAAAAGAGGCCGCCAACCTCTATTTTTTTTTTTAGGAAAAAAGAAAAAGATGTACAAGTGTTGCTTACACTACTTCTGACAACAGGTTTTTAAATACTAATAATCGCTACTCTTAAATTCTATGAGAGGTTATGTTTTCGATGATAACCTCTCATTGATGCAACGACTCATAGTACCAATCACTAATTGTACCAATCGTTAACAATTAAATGGGTAAACAGCTGATTAGCTGAAGTTTGAGACATTTCAATTTTACTTCTTCTCTCTCAATCCTTGAACCTCATAGATCCGTTACCCATGTTGTTAAGTAAAACTATGCTGTTATGTAAGTAAACAATGCTGGTATGTGAAACTAAACTGAAATGACTACTTTAAAAAAACGGTTGTAGGTAAAGGCTTTTAAAGACCTAAAAAAATAAAGTAGGCTAATGTGAATGTCACCATGGATAGTTTTTTGTCAGGAAATTAAGTGATGTTTACTAGAAAGTGAAAATTTTGAAATATATGATCTTTTTGTACTGTTTTCTTTGTTATAATGTATAGGTTTGTTTTAACTCTTAATCCGCACAACATACCAAATAATATTAAAGAGTTTTTTTTTGTTAACCTGTAATATAAGACCTAGACTATAACTTAGGCGTAACACACTATAACGGGATATCCAGGACTTTGCAGGTTTTTCTTCAACTCTCTCACGCTACGTCCCAAGACATTTTAAAGATAATTTTTCAGAAATTCATCCAAACAAATGCTGATTCTGTATATTTAATACTGATTTTTGTAATCATTTAGCTCAAATTGTTTTGAAATTCTGTTGTAGCATATCAGCTATTGATTTCAACTGCAATGAGCGGGATACTTCACTGATAGCAAAACTAAGGTCAGATGCTTTGCCTGTGCCTTCTAAACAACCATTGGGAGCTAGCAAGAAACCAGTGCCACTGCCACCAGCAAAGTCAAAGGTATACAACTTTATTATATATTTTTTACTTGTCAATAATTGTGAGATACAATTCTTTGTGTATTTGTTCTCTTCATAGGCCTTTGTTAAGCACCATTTATTATTTTAAATGCCATGTACTATTTCTATGAAGACAATTTTTGTCTATGTTTCAATTCATGTTTTAGAGTCCTGCTAAGAACAAAGGAGACAACGGTTCTGAAGAAAACAAAGCAGCTGCATCAAAAGACAACGGCTCTGTCATCCCATCCATGTTCAAAAATAATAAACCAACTGAGAGTAAAACAAACTCAACAACAACAAAAAAACCAGCTGAAAAGGTAACTTGAAACGAACAACGCAGGTGCGATAGATCTACTGCACAACTTTCTAAAGTGTAGCGGGTTTTTCTTTGATAAACTGCAAATTTTTTTGTTACTTAAGGGACGATTACACCGGAATTTGGGACATATGTTTACAACAAATTGTTCCTGGCAAATCAAGAAACAGCACTTCATCAAAACTTGATGTTTTGAACAGTTTTTTAGTGTTTCCAATAGAAATTTTGTTACTTGACAGAAGTCGAAATTGTTTGGAACACATGTTTTTATACTTCTACGCTCTTTACAACACTTCCCCGCTATCCCCCCCCCCCGTGCCTGACGGCCACCACATGCCCACTCCCTTTGTGTCAGTCCTTCTGCCTTAAAAAGTTCATGAAACTCTCAAAAAAGTACTGGACATTCTCAAAAAGTTCTTGAAACTCCCATTTGTCCCGTTAGGAGGTCAATATTGTTTAAACCATCTAACAGGTCATTGCCACTGTATTTTGGTCTGGGTTGTAGAGACTCTCTCACCCAGTACCATCGCTGTCTCGGTAGTTTAGAAAGGATCACACATTCACCGCGGCAAGTAAAACATCCTCTTTTGTAGTCATCTTGGGAAGGACTGAGCTCCTATCCTCGCAAATAATGAATACATGGTTTCAAACAAAGTCAAAGAAAAGTGCTCTATCTGTTAAACTTTTGTTGCAAACAAATTAAGAAACAAGTGCAAGCAAACAAAAAGTTCCAAACATTTATTTTGTTCCAAACTCTGGTGTAAACTAGTCCAGTTTCCTCTCACACTCCTGTGGTGAATAATACATCCTTAATTTGACCTAGCATGTACCTGTCGGCTATTTATAGTACGGTATTAAAAATAATTGAAATTTATTTTATATTAGGCCTAATATAAGAAGATAGGTTAGGCCTAGTGGAATTATTTAGACCCCTTCTCCAAACATTTTCTGAGTCAAAGAGTAAAAACAAAATAAAGAGAAAAAAAAATGTAAGCTTGGTATTATGAAATGTTACAGAATATAATAATTTGATGAATATGCTACTCTGTGCCGTAATTGATTAACGTACAGACAAAGAAGCCCATTGATTAAGTGTTCATTATTTCCTAAAGCAAATCTTTTCACTCAGTTTAATGCCTCTGTCGTTCTATTTAATTGCCTAGGGTGATACTTTTAATACTTTTTATTAAATAGGCGACCATATAAAGTTGGTATTTTAGAACAAGCTCTTAACTTACTTTCAACCATTTCTAAATACTTTTTTCTGTACAATTTGCCTTCTACCTCAGTAATAAAGAGTCTACTTTTTCGTTAATGAAATTATTTATTATTTTAAAACATCTACTAAAGTACATTATGCACCATGCTACTGTCTTTTTATGTAGTATACTCAGTGACATATTTTTATTAAAGATTTATGTTTTCAGCCTTCCGTTGGCAACAAAAAGCCACAGGGCATTGGAGCTTTCTTTAGCAAGTCCACAAATAAACAGAGCAGCGAACCCAAAAAGGTAGAGGAGGAGAAAAAAATTAAGGAAGAACAAGAATCAAACAGTACTGAGAGGCACTCACCATCTAAAGAAAACAAGCAAACCTTAAACATTGTTACAGAGGATAAAATTGAAAAGAAAAGTGAAGAAGATGACAAAACAAATGCAAGTGAAACATCACAAAAACCTTCGCCGAAAAATAAAAAACTGGCAGCCAAAATCAAGCCAAAAGCTACTGCCAAAAAGGTAATAATTCAATTTACCGGTACAGCATTTTTTATTCCCATAAAAATATTTTTCAAATCCTTTATGCTTACACTGAATGATAAAATTTGTATAGAAGAAAATCCCAAATTTTACAGATTTTATTATTATGACTAATGTTTAAATTATTGGAACATATTCAAAAGTCTTTATTGTAAAACAATTATTGTCCTGGTCGAGTATGAGTAAAGTTAAGATAGGGTAAGTTACCAGACTGTAGGAATAGAACAGGACAACGAAAAGCCCTGTGAGTAAATTCCATTTCACACCTTACAGAATACAACACTCAAAATTGGAAATGTCATATATAATTGAATCTTTAATTGCAAAAACCCCATAACTGCAAAACAATGTTGGTTATGGGGTTTTTGTAATAAACGATTCAATTTGGAAATTTCATACATTTTTGTTATTTAAGAAAAAGCAAATTATTGTCTGTTAAGTTTGTTTATTTTTATTTTTGGTTTGTCTTATGTTAATCAACCCACTTTAAGTCATTTAATTGCCTCACATTATTGAATGTGAGTTTTCACCTACTCTGGTTTATTGTAAGGTTTCTTAAAAGTCTGTTAAAAAGTTATGGAGAATAAAACTACTCAGGTTACCTTAGAATAAAAGTGTGATTATTCAGACAGAAAAATTGTTTAAGTTTACTTCGTTGGTTCAACCATAGACAAAAAGAAACCCCACCACTTAACTAACTAAACCCATGTGATCGAGGCTTTACAATCACTTCAATTAGCTATTAAACTTCATCAGTTTTATTTTATTAACATTAGGCCCATCAAATTATATTAGTCTTGTACGATGAAGACAACCCCTTAATTTGATCTTTATGGATTTCAGTGTTTACTTTTGATTTTAGGAAAATAGCAAAAAAGGACGTGGGAAAAAGAATGAGAAGGAACAGAAGAAAAGAAAGAGAGTTACAATGCTCAGTGACAGTGAATCTGAAAACAGCAGCGGAGGTTTGTGTGCTCTGAAACATGCAATTTTAGTTGTGGCGTGTTTTAATATTTTATCAAGTTGATGCATCTTCAAGCTTATGTGTGCTTGCTTACCTTCCGATTATTTGATTCTCTCTGGTATTATTCAATAGGTCAGCTCAAGGTCAATTAACTCATGAGTTAGTGGGTTTAAAATTACTCATGGGTTCAAAACTCTTGGGCACTTTATAAACATAAATGATAAATGATAAATAATTTCTATGTTAAATCTTTAGCTAGTCTATGTGTGGAAAATTATTTACATTATTTTTCTTCAATTGTATTGAACACAAACAATATAGTAACAGTTTGGCATTCTTGGTTTAGGAGAAGAAGAAGAAACGAGAGAACCAACACCAGAACCTCAACCGACCATCATTCCAGACGATGATGACGACATGGTGTGCGGTACTCCGGAGCCAGCTACTAGAAAACGCAAAAGAAAGCTTGTCGCTAAAACCTACAAAACTCCAGATGGCTACATGAGTAAGATAAAGATTACATATTGTTCTATTGCAAAAAAATCTTTATAAATTACGTACAATGCTGATTTTAGTACACTCAGTAAACCATTATTTGTGGAAGCTAATATTTTGCTATATACTGCAAAAGTACTGCCTGGTATTTGCACAAATAGATTTAGTAAAACTCATTAATATGTACACAATTACAACACACGTACCTAACCGTTGCAATATTATATCTAGACAGTGTTGATACAGCACCACAACTACTAGTTTTATTGGAATCCAAACAGTATTCTAATATGTTGCTATAGAATAAGATGTTTTATTTAACTGTTCTAAATTCAAAATAGTCCTTAAAACCATCAGTATATTAAACTTGTTTCCGTATAAAGAAATAGACTTCATAAATGATGTTAACCCTGCATCTGGCAAACGACTATTGACTAGTCGCCAAAACTAGTTCCTCCACTGCCAAATTACTAGTCACTAATAGTACGGAACAGTGTTGGTGTAATATATTTTTTTTACCATTATAGATAAAGAGATGAGACTTATATCAATAACTAGCTGTACCCGCGGGCTTCGCCCCGTTTAACTTCATAAGCATTCGCATGGCTCATTCACGTCCTGGTTGAAGTTCGTTCGCTATGCTCACTCACCTTTAGGTTGGAGCTCGTTCGCTGCGCTCACTTGCCTTCAGGTTAGCTCGTTCGCTACGCTAACTCGCCTCCAGGTTGAAGTTCGTTCGCTACGCTCACTCACCTTTTGGTTGCAAATTAGCTGTTGTCATAAATTAAAAAAAAATAATAGTGCTGCACCCTGTTGGTAATCCTTGTAACTTTTATGCTATTGAACATCATAGAACAGAACCAACTTGTTTAATTGAAACAGCTGTTAAGATTCATTAATTCCTTTTAACACGTTCGCTGCTGAGCACTAGATGCCGGGACGGCGCCAGTTGCTGAACTAACGCTCGGCCGCTGCGTGACATTGCCACCGATACACTGAATTACAATAAAAACAACAGTAGTTATACTGGATGGCAATGTTCTGCAATACAACTGGCTTTGGATATAGTACTAAGTGATTCTGATAGATAGCAGCACTACCCAGGTTACAGTCGTTAAAGTAGTATCGCTATCTAGCAGGAAAGAGGTAAAACAAAGCCCTGTTCCAAACGACCCTGGTGGTGATTTGGAAAAACTATATTTTTTATTGTCAGAAAAGTACGTCCCCACGAGCTGCAAAGAAATATAGAACGCTTGTGACGTGCTGGCTTATCCATAGCAACGTTAAACAACAATGAACGGTGACGTTCTGGAACGTTCTTAGCTCCTGGCGCCGTGGCCCGGCTGACGTTCCGGAACGTCCGTAGCAGCGAACGTGTTAAATATGAAAAATCATAAGATTAACATGGGGAACTACAGAGCCACTGGGGCAGAGCCCGAAAGGGTTTTTGAGATAAGAATATGCTTTAATGTTAATCGGGAATGTGAGCTATCATCATGCCAAATTTCAGCCCAATCCGTCCAGTAGTTTATGCGTGATTGAGCAACACACACACACACACACACAAACATACACACAAACTCACAAACTTTCAGATTTATAATATTAGTAAGATAGCCATAAATGTCTACTCTTTTAAGCTATTATCACTTATTAAGCTATTATCCTTTATGATTCCAAACTGGTTACGTTTTTATTATACAATATTGTTATTATATTATATTACAATACAATATTAATGAAAAAGTAATAGGCTGGCCGAAGACAACAGAAAATATGTTTTAGCTTTGAGTTTAGAGTAGAAATTTAACTAATATCTCTTCTCAAGATTTTTTTTATTTACGTTGTGATGTTTTTTAGTGACAAAGAAAGAATATGAGAGTTATAGTGAAGAGGAAGAGGAAACTGTACCTGAAAAGAAGGCAAAAGGAAATTCACAAGATGATGAATCAGCAAAGAGTGGAAAAGACATTGTTGTACCTGCCACCACCACCACCACCACCACTAACACCAACAAGAATGTACCTAAACCTACGAAGGTTTCACCACAGAAAACAAAACAAGCCTCCCTAACAAGTTTCTTTAAGAAAAAGTAATATTTCATCTGATGTGTTGTATATGTTTTTGTTTGTACGTTAATTGCTTTAAACTAGGCTAAGGTTATGTAAATTTAAATAAATTGCTATGCTATTTTTAAATCATTCTGTGACCTATCCATTAGCCTGAAAAACTCGTAAAAACCAAACATATTTTAGACTCTAATAAGTCGTTCATGTTGAACTCTTTCTTAATCCCATCTATGAAAAAACGCACATCTTTCCAGCAAAACTCACTTCTGCAAAATAAGAATTCTAAATCATGTTCAAGAAGCTGTATGAAAATTAAGTCTAAGATTATGTTCTAATCTAATTATAACTTCTAGAATTGAAGGTCGCATCATAACAATGTCAGAATTCCGACGATTCCGACTAATAGGTTAAACATTTTTCATTTCATGTAATTGTCATTTTTCTTCCATTCATTTTTTTTTCATTGTCATTTTTTTTTAAATCTTTTTTTTTTAGAATAGAAAAATTCTTTATTGCTCCATGTACATAATATACAGTTGTTGTAAACAATCACAATAGTATTGAACACAATTCTGGTTACAGTATTTATACAACTATGCCTATGAACTTACACATTTTTGGTAAGATGATACCATTGACTATTGGATACAGAAGTTGTTGTATTAATAGTCAAAGATGATACATAAAATTCAATCACACTAAATAGATTTATCATGGATATTGTGATTGTTTTCTGCTAGGAATATTTTTCCCAGGAGTTTATGGACTAACACACCCTTATGTAAAAAATTATGGGTTGTTAACTCCAGCAACACCATCCAGAAGCTAATTACTGACTTGTCTGGGGAATTCATTTGAGCATCTTATTTTGCTTTTTTCCACTTGCATCATTATTTCCGAAACCAGGCTCTGGGGCCATTCTACTGGTGTAAGTAAAATTCTAGTGTTGCAAAAGGAAGCTGTCAGGGTGCTGAGTGGAGCCCAGTACCTGGAACACTGCCTTCCTCTGTTCCAACAAAACCGCATCATGACTGTATACAATATGTAGGCTATACAGGGTGATTGAAAAGTCTGGGTACGGCTTAATATTTTAAAATATAATGCAGATTGAGCTACAATACTTGGTACAAAGTTACAGGGCATAAAACTCTATTTTAACACATATTCAGTGATCCAATAACTCTTCAGGGGGCCCACAAGGAGTCGGAAGAAAATCTTAAATGGAAGCAGAGGTCAATATGCACATCAAATTAAAGATCTTTTTTAGTAGAATACAATGCTGCAAACCGTACTTCAAAAGGTTGATCCTGCGCAAAATGGCAGATGTTCAAAGATTTCTTGAATCCGCCATTTTGAATCTTTGAACGACTGTCATTTTTTACTCAGGCATTCTTTTGAGCTTGAATTTACGACATCGTAATCTACTAGTGAAGACCTTTAATTTGATGTGCATATCGACCTATGCTTACGTTAACAATTTTCTTCCGATTCCTAGGGCTGTGCCCCCTGAGGAGTAAGCGTATAATAGCAATGTAAATTAAATGAATCTTTGAACAACTGTCATTTTGCGCAGGATCAACCTTTTGAAGTGCGGTTTGCGGCATTGTATTCTACTAAAAAAGACCTTTAATTTGATGTGCATATTGACCTATGCTTCCTTTTAAGATTTTCTTCCGACTCCTTGTGGGCCGTCCCCCTGAAGAGTTATTGGATCACTGAATATGTGTTAAAATAGAGTTTTATGCCCTGTAACTTTGTACCAAGTATTGTAGCTCAATCTGCATTATATTTTAAAATATTAAGCCGTACCCAGACTTTTCAATCACCCTGTATATCTTTCAATCTCTTTTAGAAATTAAGGCAAATGAAGTGCACCTTTTGAGAAACAACCAAGTACATAACTATGCCACAAGAAATTGTTTAAATGTTTTTGCGCATAGACACAGGCTGAGCAGAACAATTAAATGCTTATCCCTGTTTCAGGTTACAGACTTTTCAATCATCTACCAGTAGCCATAAGGGACTTGCCTATTTCAAGGTTCAAGGCAGTAATGAAGGACTGGTTGTTAGAAAACCCTTTTTATGACCTGTCTGAATTTTTTAAAGTAGGACTACCAGTTTTGTTATAGGTAATGCTCATGCACTGCCTTGCATGGCTATTTTCTTGCATGTTTTTTTCCCATGGTTTTGCTACAGTTTTGTTTTGCATGGTTTTGTTTGTTTCCTTATTATTTATCTAACTTGCATTTTTTATTTGTGAATCAAGAGATGGACTATTTATTATTTACTTTGTATCGTAAGTGACTTAGCCTTCTGCTTTGCTTAATGGCCTAAATAAATCATTGAATCATTGAAAGCTGCAGTATGTAGGGATGAGAATTGCAACTGATGGTCATGTCACAAGGTTTTCGTTCTAATCATAATTCTTGATGTTTAAATGTGTGTGAATCTTGCTTAGAGGATAAAATTGTGGGTGCTTATGACTCCTCTGTGTCCATCATTGTGTTCTGCTTTACTCAACAGCAATACTCTATGGTGACAAAAAGACGCATAGTGATGAGAAGATAACTAAGGATCTGTTCAATCCAAATTATATTGTTTCCAAAAGATCACAAATCATGTCGATAATGTTACTCTAGAACCAATAAACAATCCAACTATCTCATTTTTTTTAAATGTACTGAAATATTCAAATTAATGTAGATTGATATTTTTTTATTTCCCACATTGAATTGTTGGATCAAGGATTATCTGTTTGTTTGTTTGTCTTTCCAATAATTAACAAAATCTCTACCTACTCTTCTTGTCCTAGACAACTTAAACCTAAATTTAGCTCATATTTAAAACTCATCTCACTTAATTACTCAAAAATTAATCTAACCCTTCAAATCAGGTGTTTTTAACATTTTTTGCTCGAAGCTCCCCTAAGAATCGTGAATTAATCTCACGCCCCCTATATACCTAAGCCATTAAATGATTTCATATTTTATTGTGGCATTCTTCTGCCTCGATTCTAATCCCATTGTGTGATTAGATGAATTAACAATTCCAATAAGGTAATGTGATTACATTTAAAGTAGTTTCTTAAGATACACTCTAAAGGCAGCCTACAATCCCAAATAAATTATATATTTTTTCCTAATTTGTTATTTTTAAATATTTTTATACGAGTGCTAATGACTCTCCTGAAATCCTTTCAGGGCCCCAAGTTTAAGAACCGCTGCTTTGGATTTAATTTTTTTTCGTCTGGTGAGTTTTACAAATTACAGTACAATACCCGTGAGTTGCTTATTTATTCAGTATTGCTGTGCAAACTGTGCTTCATTATGAATCTTTCCCCGTACTGACTTATATTGTCTTCATTGAATCTATGGGGCCTGTTTCATAAAATAAACTACAAGTTGTGTAATTTCCACTAGATTTGCATTGGGCGATCAGCTGATTTACTAATAATATTTTAGTTTGTTTGTTGGTAGTTCATTATAAAGCAGGACCCTGACCTGACAAAGAGAATTAGGGATAAAACTGGAAGAGGATCTATTTTAAGGATAAATTTAATAATATATCTATATTCAATTTAAATAAAATATATATCTCCCCTTAGTGAGATGTATAATCAGTGGTTAAAGTGACTAAATTGACTCTGAACATAGACTATGGACTATGGAGCCAATTTGGTCCACTCTACTCAACCTTAATTAATAGTCACGTCTGTGGACGGAATACTGGGCAAAGAGTTTCAGACCTTGCTCAGAGCAATGGCAGAACGCCTAACAGAAAAATGGAAGAAACCTTACAGTTACAGTTTAGTGATTAACTGGATAAGGGTAAAAACCATCTGTGCGACGTTAAGGGCCAGCAGCATGGGTCTAAGGAGGACAAGGAAGAAGTGGAGGACCCTTAGAGAGTTTGAAGATGGGGCTGCAGTACCAGCTATTTATTAATTTAAATAGCAAATGTTTATTATTTTTCTATGTCAAAATTGATTATATTAAAGTGTTTTGCTATACTCAACCTTACCTGCAGCATTGAATATAGTGTTATATAGTCAATGACTACAGTCCGTGCGGTCTGGGAATGGGCACACGGGAGGGACTAAGGCTAAAGGTGTAGTGACGTCATATCTCTAGTGACTAATGTCTTCTCTTGAGGAAACACGACTACCTTAACGAGACGATGTGATTTCAGCAGCGTTCGTGGCATAATGGGTAGCGTTTCAGATTGATATTCAGGAGGTCTCGGGTTTGAAACCATCCGGGGACTTTTAACTTTTTGTCAACGATTTTTGCTTAGAATGCGAATACTTCTTAACTGTACATCTTTTTTGGAATTTGATGCATATATAATTTTATTTGCGAACAGAACTTTTTTTTAAATATTGAACCTTTATTCGATTTTTATATTATATCTTTTTTATAGTATCAGCAAGTTTGGTTGGTTAGGTTAGGTTATGACAGTTTAATTTTATAATACTAAATTTTAAAATTAATTTTATAATTAAAAATTAATTACCTATAAGTAATCATTAATTAGATTTTTATCTTACATGATTTTTATATTATCAGCAAGTCTGGTTGGTTAGGTTATGTTATGACAGATTAATTTGTAATTTAAAAAAATATTTTATAATTAAAAAGTTAATTTTATAACTAAAAATTAAAAAACATAATTTAAATTTTTCAACTTAGCTGTTCTAGCGGCAAACGCTGACACTACAAGATATGTTAGCCTTTAGTCCCTCCCGTGTGCCCCTCCGGTGCTGTCTGTGTGAGGGAGAAGCAGAAGTAAAAGCTGCGTATTTTCCCGGTATTTTCTCCCGTTTCGTTTTCGCTCCGTTGGTTGTCCGTTCGTTGTTGACTGAGACCAGACTAGACTCAGTAGACTCAGTTTGTCTGTTGTTGTGTTGTAGGTGGTCGTTACTCGTTGAGGTTAATTGCTAAAGTTAGTTCAATTTCAATTCAAACTAAACCTGTTGACGCCCGATCTAGGCCTACCTATTTCATTTTTGTGATCCTCATATTTGTAATTTTGATTATTTCAATTTTTAGTTTGCTTGCAATATACTAAAACTAGGCCTAGCTCGATTTATTTTCATATTTGTGAACCTTGTAAGTAGCCTAGGTCAAGGTATAGACTAAAAGGTTTTTATGTTTAACGATGTTTCCAGAGAATTGAATAGCCTAGGCCTATCAATTGGCCATAAACTAACTGGAACTACTTAGTTTGAACCCGTTTGAAGTGTTTTTCTCCGGGCTGATTTCTCAGATTTTTACATGTTAATTTTCAGACAGATGAAAGACTGATTTTTGAATCAAAATGTCTGAGGGTGCTGTAAATCTTATTCTTCAATCCCTATCTAATGAGGAATACCACACAATTCCTGACAACGTTCGTGAGAAGATTGAGACATGTATAAATGAACATTTGCAAAACCTTTTAACTTCCAGAGCGATATTTGAAACAACAAGGAAAAGTAATGGTAAGTTTTTAATAAAATACAGCCTAGACTAGGCCTAATTCAAGGAATTGAAGGGTAGAAGTGGATCTTAAGGTGTTCTTGAAGGCAGAGGATAGCCTACATGTTCGTTAACCCGATGTAGATTGGGCATCCGGCCCGGGGGCTGGGACAGTCCCGATTTTGGTTCCTTATGCCTGCATTTAAGCCTATATTAATCCAGGGGGGAGGGGGGCCATGTGCCGATTTTTTCCTAACCTAAGGTGGCAACTCTCCGTCCGGCAGGTACTGTCATAACCTAACCTAAGTTGGTAATTATTTACCGTGCTTACACTGGGATATGATGTAATTTTGATATGTCTACTTACAGTACAGTATTTTTAACGGTGAATCCAAAAATGCAATCCGTTTTGGTCGTAGCGATTCCTAAGTGGCCGTACAGTTAAATAATTAATATTAAGCTTCATTGTTGATTTATTAACATAAGTATTTGTGGTGTGGACGAGTCCAAGTCATGAGAGCAATGTCAGAGCTACAATATGCAATAGGCTAACTAGATTTTTAAAAGAAAAGCTGTTTAGAAACTACAATATATAAACTATTAATCACATGAACATAAGTTATGAAACAAAATAGAATTTATTCACATGATCATCGTCCTCATTCCAATCCTCTTACCATTGACTAATGCCTCAACGTCTGTTAATGAACGCCACAGTGCATAATCCCATATCACATAATCCCATTGTGTCTAAAAGTGAAAACGTGCCAGAGAGCATAATTTAATGTATCAGCCAACTAATAAATGATGTTACATAATCTAATCTATCCTAACCCAACCCAACCTTAATATTAATGTTTAAATAACATTTTATGTCAGAAAAGGCATGTGAGGAAGATAGGTCGGACTTTATGCGGATTCGTGACTATTAAGTCCTTTGAAGTGAGGTTAGATTAGATAAGAAAGTATTAAAGTAAGTTTTAGAAAGGTTAGGTTATAATGAACCGACTCATTAACTTATGCAACTTCTAGACTGTTTTTGCACAGTTGAAATAGTGGGTGAAACACAATGAAATAACGATATCAAAAATGCTTGCGCATTTTTGATATCGTTATTTCTATTTAATTGTGCAAAAACAGTTTGGAAGTTGCATAAATTAATGAGTCGGTTCATTATAACCTAACCTTTACCTTCCTAATCTAACCTCACTTCAAAGGACTTAATATAGTCACGAATCTGCATAAAACCCGACCTACCTTCCTCACATGCCTAAATAAGAACTGATTATTTGGTTTCAAAACGAATTGATTTGATTTCATTCCGTATTAGATCAAGTATAGGCCTAAACAGTTGTTTGCTCTCTCACTCAAGCCTCACTCCTCACTCAGTACGGACCCGTCCAGACCACGCCATATTACCATTACCTTTAGTCAGTACCGCTCAATTATCCTTAGATTCGTAATCCTAACCTTTGTTTTACGTCCACTACGGCCACTTAGGAATCTCTCCGACAAAAACTGATTGCATTTTTGGATTCAGCGTGAAAAATACTGTAAGTAGACATATAAAAATTACATCATATCCCAGTGTAAGTACAGTAATTATTTGCCCCTAAGGTAACTAACCAAACTTGCTGATAATGTAAAATTGAATGAAGGTTATTTTTCTGGGTAGACTTCCATAGGCCTATCTGTTGGCAAAAACAACTGAATGAAAATATCGATTGTTTGATTGTTTCATTCGATATATCGATCGATATTTTCATTCGGTTTTTTGTGCTATCAGATACGGAGGTCTACCCATTTTTCTGTTAGGGTACCGGTATACAGTGTTGGGGAAGCTACTTTTAAAATGTAGCTTTGGAGTTTATTGCCTTTCTTTATTTTTAATGTTAAAACCGACATTGCTATTAACTTTTAACCATAGTACCATAGGTAATATGTTACTTGTTCTATGAATAACACTTTTCAATGTCAAGAAATCGTCCTTTGTCATTATGCATAAGTCAAATTGTGCTTCAACAAACATTGGTGCAGAAAACAGGATTCAGCAACTTATCCTGGAACCGGCTTTTAATTTAAACATGTTGAATATTGGTAAGTAAAAATAACATTTAGGCGTACTTGGCTTTGTAACAAGTTGGCTATAGTAGGCTTGTTCTTACAAGGACTAAACAGATATATTTCTATTAATTGAACTAGGAATAGTCCTTGACAAGAGCTGTTAGCAGGAGCAAACTACTGTATGCTACTTTTTCAATGCATGTTTCATGTTGTATGGAGATTTTTTTGTTACAATTATGTATTCTAGGCATATCTTAAACCTCATCAGGAAATTTCCTCTTCGTTCATTTAGTTAACCTTTGAAAAATCTTTGTAATCTAACCAAGGAAGGGCTTGTGATGATGAACCACAATCAACAGCGCTGAAGCAAAGGTTGATAGACCAGCTTTCTCATTATTTTAAGGTTTAGTGTTTGGTTTCCATTAAAACCCAAGTTTAAACTAAATTGAAACAATAAAGAAACTAAATTGATTAGGTAGGCCTACTAATTTCCCTGTCAATCACTTGCAAGCATTCAATAGCTTCTCTTGTCACCGCTAACGTTTAAACGTCGTCTGCATCTAGCGATTTTATTTTATCTGACAGTAATCATAGAGTAGCAAATGAAGGAAATGAGAGCCAAAAATGTGGATAACACTCAGATAATGGCCTCCATGTCCACGCAACGTTGTAATAGGTAATGAAACGACTGTGACCAGCTGTATGAAGCCAAGAAAGTAGGCCTAATTTTCTTGAAAATCTCAGTTTGAAAAAGGTTGTTTCACGTAAGGTTGTGATAAAAATCACAATCTCAATCAATGTTAATTTAGCGAGAAAATTCCGCTACAACTACCGGTACTTAAAAAATGTAGCTAGCTACAGCTAAAGCTACAAAAAAAGTAGCGCGCTACTTCCCAACACTGGATTTTCTGTTCTTAAAATAAAATTATAATTGCCTCAAATTCACACACAAGATGTACGTAACTTACCTACAGTTAAGAAGAAATGGCATTCTAAGCAAAATCTTTGACAAAAAATTACTTAGTGTCACCCGGTCTAGATAGCCTACCTCTTGTATAGGTATCCAGCTTTAGGCTTAGCGATTTCTGTTGCCCTATGCCTAAAGCTCGTACGGTATTAAAGTTCGAGGTAGGGGTGTTTCCGACTGAACTAAAACCTTCAATCATTCGCCCCCTTCACAACAAGGGTGAAAACGTTGACAAAAACAATTACCGGTATTGTCGTATTCACAATAATTTATGGTTTTCGTTGTCTGTATGAGGCTTGCGAGTCCTCAGGGCAAAAGTAATTGGTCAGGTCAGCTCAGTATTACATTGGTTTAACTGCAAAACCTGTTTGTCAACAATGCCTAAACTCAAATTATCAAATTCCATCAGTAAAAAAGAAAACACAGCACCCCTGGCTATTTCCGTAGACAACAATAATTTCATTCCTTCCTGTTCAGAAACTTAAGTTCCTGGGCATCCACATCGATAGCTAGTGGAAATTCACACTTCATGTAGGTACCGGTAGTTGGATTCTGTTTGTAAAAAAATTAAGTTCTAATATAGGTGTTGAGAAATTTGACAACGTTTACCAACAATAAAATTCCTACTTTTCCATCCATTTATATTTTGAACTGTCTCATATTTGTTAAGGAAAATTTTGACCTTTTTCCAAATCTGTCTCACTCTATCTCTATGGTTTGAGAAGCCTTTTCAGTATTAGACATCCCAAGACACAACACCGCTTTTTTTGAAAACCATTTATTTTACAATGACATTTAAACTGTTGCCCGCTCCCCTGAAGATGGACCAATGCGGACAAATTTGGTAAAAGAGTTAGAACGCTGCTTTTGTTAAATGTTTCTGCAGTGTCGAGGACTTTTAGCCTATTTAAGATGCCTGTAGTTATTCTTAACGATGACTTATAAATAGTTATAGATTTTCTTCATAAAAACCTGTTGTTTTTACTAATTTTATGGAAAATATTTGTTGACCCAATTGTTTTATATTGCCAAAAATAAAGATGTTTGAGTTTTAAGTAAAATTTGTTGAAGTAAACTAAGGCCCGGGCCAAAGTTCACCTTAGGCCTATTTATTTCTACGTTGACCTAACTTAGGTCCTAAACTTCATGGGCCTAGGTTCTTAGGCCTTTAGTATTGTGTTAGGGCCTCACTAAATTCACGTAGCCTTTATGGATGCTTAAAAAAAATGCATTAAAATCGTCTAGCCTAATTTAAGTTGTAGTTAACCTTAACAAATAATTGATAGTATTGTATAACTTATCTAGCCTAAAGTTCAAAAAGATTGAATAAAAATAATTGAAGATTCAAGAATTTTAGGCGTAAAAGGAGGCAATCTTATTCCACCCAATTTTACAACTTAAAATCGTGATATTTCATTTATTTTTTATTTCTCCTTGAACTTGGTGTCCCTCGATAGGAAATTTTAAATGCTAAATGCTAAATTATAGTTTTCTTGACAATTTTTCATAAGATCAGCTAGGCCTATTTTTAAAACGTTTTTATTAGCTCGCTTTCTTGTCCGGTACAAATTTTGCAATCGATTTCATACTAAGTTCCCGATGAACCAGAGACTTGAAACTTTAAACATAGCTCACAAATGGATGACAATGCAATATTATATAATTTAATTTTCATATTTCCCTTGGGATACGCCCCATGGGCTTGTTTTTATTAACTCGCTTTCTTGCAAATTTGGATACTTCCCGATGAGCTAGAGACTTGAAACATAGCTCACAAATGGATGACCAATGCAATATTATATCATTTAATTTTCATATATCACTTGGGCTACGCCCCTTTGGCTTCCAAATTTTCCATGTTTACATTTTAAAAGAATGTAAACATATAATATTTAAGTCAGCTGTAAATACTTAAATTAGACAGTTAGAAGAGCAGAGGTTAAGAGGTACAGGTTCTGCTCCCGAGATATTCTAAAAATATAAAACAATCATTTCAAAGTAAAGATAAAACATCTGATTACGGATAATAAGGTTTTGGGTTTTGGTTATGTATTAAGAGGCTATATAAAATAGATTTAACATATTTACACATTAAAAACTAAAAACTAGAAAATAATTTATAAGTAAAAATACTTTTTAAAAATGCCATGTTTTTAAACGCACTAAAAAGTATAAAATAATTTATAAAATGTTGAGAGAATAAATACTTGTAAGATTTAAAACGAAAAACGTGGGGTGCATGTAATAGATCATAATAGTTCAATTGGTGAAGTTAATTGTAAATCAGCATGCGCCCCATGTTTTTCGTTTTAAATCTTACAAGTATTTATTCTCTCAACATTTTATAAATTATTTTATACTTTTTAGTGCGTTTAAAAACGTGGCATTTTTAAAAAGTATTTTTACTTATAAATTATTTAAGGTTAAGACAATAGTTTTAAACAACATTTGATTTTTAAGTACCTAAAAATTAAAACTTATCTATTTTATTTGAAGCTAAGCCATGATTAATGTGAGATTTTTAATAATTATGATTAGAAAATAGCCAAATGTTTCATGAAAATAAAAGATTAATGAGGTCAACAGATTGGCCTTTCCTGCGACCTTTTTAGTGTTAATGACTGTTTCTTTACTCTCGCTTCTCCATTTAAAAGGCTCTCATTGCTGTAAAAAGGATAAGACATATTGTCCGTATACAATATAATATTTAGGATATTTAATAACAAACATTAGGCTATATATGTTTTTTAACGAGTGTAGATTGTCATCTTAATGATGTACCAACATTTATACTCTTTCTTTTTGACAGAGCAAAACAAAATTTATAAAAGACAGTTAACCATTGATTAAGTTCAGTTTTAGATCTAATTACATCCACACACTTATTCCTTCAATAAAGTTTAAATACTGTAATTTGAAACATCCCATCATTTCATTGCAGCGTATTGTAAAGTGAGTTAGAAAATATAATTTGGTTTGAAAGACATTAGGTACAGGTTTGTGTTTTTATTACTATATTACTTCACCATTGTACACGTCATTTACTTTTAACTGAAAGAATACCTAAACCATTTATTTAAATATTTGGTAAATCTGAAAACAAAATGGTTTTACGTCCTATATCACTTTAGCGTATTGATATAGACTATGTTTATAACTTATTTTATATAAAACATTACAATTTAATGCTTGTTTTTATGAGCTCGCTAGTCGCTTTCCAGCAAATTTTGATATCAATCTTAAACGAAGTTCCCAATGAGCTAGAGACTTGAAATTTGAAACATAGCTCACAAATGGATGACAATGCAATATTATATCATTTTATTTTCATATTTCCCACGGGATACGCCCCATGGCTTCTACATTTTCCATGTTTACATTTTGAAAGAATGTAAACATATCAATTAATTTAAGTCAGCTGTAAATACTTAAATTTGACAGTTCGAAAAGCAGAGGTTAAGAGGTACAGGTTCTGCTCCGGATATGGAATTGACACACGGGAGGGACTAAGGCTTAAGGTGTAGTGACTTCATATCTCTAGTGGCTAATGTCAACACGATTACCGTAACGAGACTATGTGATTTCAGCGGCGTTCGTGGCATAGGTGGTAGCGTTTCGGATTGATGTTCAGGAGGTCCCAGGTTCGAAACCATCCGCTAGCCGGGGACATTAACTTTTTGTCAACGACTTTTGCTTAGAATGCGAATACTTCTTAAATGTACTGTACATCTTTTGTTAGAATTTGACGCATTTAAAATTTTATTTATGAACAGAACTTTTTTTTAAAATATTGAATTTTTATTCGATTATATCTTTTTTAGCAAATTTCCCTATAGGGAAGTAGCTACAGTAGAGTCCCGTTAGTCCGAAATGGTTGGGACCGGGCCCATTTCGGATTACCGAATATTTCGGATTAAACGTTTTTTTTTTTAATTTTTTTTTTTTTTTAATTTTTTTTTGTCTTATTTCTTACTACTTTTTTCGGACGCAGGCACGAGCCCGGGATTGAATTTCAAATTACTTAAGGCTAGACCTATTGGCTGCAGCATTATCACTTAATAAAATCTATTTGTGATTTGGCGGACGAAAATGTAAAATGTTACAGTAATAACAAAAATGGTGAAATATTTACTAAAAAAATACTCTACAAATAAGTCTATCTCGCCCAGCTGCTACAGAATACTTTGACGAGGTACAGCTAACTGTGTCAAAAGTTTAATAAAAAAGTTTCAAAAAAATTTTTTTGGTTTCGGGTTAAGCGGACTTTCGGATTACCGAAGTTCGGATTATCGGGACTCCACTGTATTACCGTAGGTGGCACGGTAATACCTAGACCCGGGACCGATTTACTTTTTCATTTTGATGTCGCCAGAGGCCAAAAACACCATTCGTTTTATATATACCAAATTTATTGAGCGTAGCTCTTTGGGATCAGCTTCAATGCAACAAATAAAGCAACATCACTCAATAATGGCAGAACACATTTCAGTCAAACTTAACAAGATTACTTAGACTAATAGTGAGATGGTTAATAAACAAACAAATTTCAATTAGATAATGCTAATGCAATTTAAAACGAACTTAAAATTTCCAAATTTTAACATTAGGCTTATGGGACTAAAGTAGCCATATGACAGTTTTTTGTTTACAAGAAAAATGTAAACAAGAGAATCATAAGGTATTTCTGAACTTTCTAGACTTTTTCTTTTAAACGTTTTTAAATCATTCCTATGATTTCAATAAACAAGAAAATGCCGTTAAAACATTTTTTAAGGCGCGGAATTCACTGAAAATCGAGAAAATATACGGAACTACTTTCTCAATGCACGGAGCATAAACAAGGAGCGGAGGGATACGGACCAGTGACTACTTTCTTGGGAACCTATTTGTGTTGCCAGCTGATTAGAAACAGCCAATGTTAGAAATCAGGATTTAATAAGCGATATATCAAACCGCATCGAAATCGATATTTAATCCGATAATACATCACAGGTTATATTATGTTGAATTACATCGACGGTGCACTAAGTTATTACACTTATTAATAAAACGCAGATTGAACACTCATCTAATTTAGGCATGTGGGGAAGGTAGGTTGGGGTTTATGAGTATTCCTGACTACTTAAGTGTTTTGAAGTAAGGTTAGATTAGGGAGGTAAAGTGTAGGTTATATGTAGGTGATCGGGTTGTTTATTTGTGTTGCACCAAATAAACTGATAATATTTTCCTGGCCAAAACTACCATAATGCACTTTTGGAAGAGGTATCTGAATAACAAGATGTAGTAAAAACAAATCTGAATTATTATAATTTTAATCAATAAAACAAGCATTAGTACATCCATTGACTTTTTTACATTTAGTAACTTATACAAATATCAAATCACGTTTGTTCCGCTCAACTGGCTTTCACCTCTCTGACAGCAACCCTAGTATATATATATATATACGTCCGTGAACGCGATAACTTGAGTAATTTTTGTCCGATTTTGATGAAATTTGGTTTAAAGGTGTAAATATTTAAAACGAATAACGTGGGGTGCATGCAATAGATAATTTACAATTACCTTCACCTATTGAACTAATGTATTATCAATTGCATGCACCCCACGTTTTTCGTTTTAAATCTTAAAAGTATTTATTCTCTCCACATATTTATAAATTATTTTCTACTTTTTAGTGCGTTTAAAAACGTTTTGTTTTAAAAAAGTTTTTTATTTATAAATTATTTTATTTTGTTTAAAATGAAAATGGCAGCCATTTTAAATGTTGAGTTGGATCAGGATATCCTTTTTTCCAACATGAGTCTCTTCTACAGACTAAGTTTTATAAAGATCGGCTGGAACAATCCAAAGAATAACATATTTAGGATTAAGTTAAATGAGAAAAATACAAAATGGCAGATAGATCTGGTTAACCAAGCCATTTTAGAAAAAAAGGTTATTCTTGATTAAATCTTTATTTTGACCCATAGATAACCATTTCCCGTAGTTTGGCTGTTAAAAACAGAACTCCTGTATAAATAAATAGGTTAAGTGCTGCAATCTACCAAGTACTTGAAAAATAAACTGATATTTATTTAAACATTTCAGACGACAAGATTCAATCTTTGACAGAACAAATAAAGCTCTTGGAACAAGAAAAAGAACAAGTTAATAGTGATGTAACTTCGCTCAAAGATGAGTTAGCTGAAGTCCAACTGAATTTAGAAGCAACTAAGAACGAAAATGAAAAACTGGAGGAAACAATTAAAAAGTAAGTTGGTAAACTTAGGCCTATCTAACACCTGCCATGAAGATGTAAACCAATAATTACTTAATCATTCTTTTGCTCCTATTATGCCATTATAGTTTGGTTATTTCAGTTGATGTAGGCCTCCATGCACAATAGGGGCGTGCGGATAACCGAAAAATCGGGTCGGAATCGGTTTGGAACCCGTGCCTATCCGAACCGAGCCCAAATTTGATATACCACACTATCAGTTAAATATCCAAATTTTTTCGGATAGACTATGTTTTTTTGATGTTTTGGACTTAGATGACAACTATAAGGCCACTGAGACATTCCCTTGCCATATAAATTCTTTGCATCAAGATACAAACACTGAGACATGACCTCGCGATATACATTCTTTGCCTCAAGATACAAACATTGAGACATGGCCTTGCCATATAAATTGTTTGTATCAAGATACAAGTATACAGACATTCCCTTGCCATATAAATTCTTTGCGTCAAGATACACACACTGGGACATGCTAAAGTGAGTAACTTATTTGCAAGCCATAAGGGGTGGGGGGGATGGTTTGAAAAATCCCCTCGTTAACTGTGATTGAAAACACTTGATGTTTTTAAACGTAAATAACATTTGTAGGTTATACTAGAGCTGTTTTTAATAGACAAGCAAATAATAGGTTACGAATTTCAAAAAATTTTTCAGGCTGGAGAGCGAGTCCCTCGAATACCGACGGCAGCGAGATTTGGCATTGGACGAGCGCAACGAAGCCTTGGAGATGGTGGAGAGGCGGAACAACGAGGTGCGTCGTCTGCAGGAGGACTTGGCCACACTGGGCAGTCAATTGCAGGCTGCCGTACAGTCCAAGTGTGAGGCGCTGGCCAACGCTGACGAGGTGGACAGCTTAAAACTCTCATTGGAATACAAGTATGTAATTTGTTTATGCAGGTTTCCACAATATTCTATTTTACAGTTATTCAACAGTCCTATCAAAGATATATCGTGATTTCAAGTAGGCCTCTTTATTTTCCATCTACTAAAATAACGATTTCCGCCAATCATTTTATTTTAAAATGTCTTTAAATTCCATGTTTATTCTTGATATGCCTGGACCTAGAGTACACGTTCCTTCCCATCAATCAATTTTATGTTTTCCCTATAAGATTCTGATAGTTAACTACCAATAAAAAGGTTTAAAATGCCACATTATAGTCTCCATTGCCACATTGTACTCCTGAAAGGGTGCATCAAGACAACCCCTTTTAAAACGTCCCCCAACTGTGTTGGAAGCACCTGGGCCTGATTCAAAGAATCAAGAATCAAGAATTTTTATTTCCATAAAATGCGGTTGTTCCAAAAAAAGAGTTGTAAACATGTTATAACATGTGTTAAACTAATACCCTATTAGTTTTTATGTTTATAGGCAGTTAATTGAAGAGAAGCCTCTAACTTAAAAGTTTTTGTATTGCAAATTCAGCTTTTAAAATATTTTGAGATTTTTATTATTTAATGTACTATTTGACCTCATTGCTTATCCGATGTTATTGCGTCCGGTTTATGTTGGTTGGATAATTGGGATTCCAACTGTTTATAAATCATCGCTGATGTAGTTTATTCATAAGTTGAGATATAAGGGGGTGGAGTTTAATTGAAAATGATGTACAGAGAGAAGCGGCTGGACCAGGAGAGAGCATTGCTAAACCAGCAGATCCACAGTTTGACAGAGGACCTGGCTAAACACACCGAGGACATGACCGCAATGCGGAGGGAACACACCAACAACTTGCTCACACTGCACAACCAGCTGTCGGAGAAAACTGAGGAGGTATGTTAAAATAGTGCTCAATGGGCTTCTGGTTAAAATGTTTCATTGCACAGTTTTCAGATTTTTGTGTATAAAATGTCATAAAAAATGTTCTTATTTTCCAACTTTAGGCCTAATTATTTTTTTTTTATTTAGGTGTTTAACCCTCCGTCGGTGACACCACGGAGTTTTCCTCCAAGCTCATTAATTTTTATAGTAAAATATGTGATATCGCCAGCTGGCAGCTTTAAGAGTAACAGTACCTAATGTGTATTTTTCTAGGATCCGATAGAGAACATTATTTTTATCTCACACCTCCCCCGCAAAACCCCTATCAATCAGTTGGGAGCCTGAAGAGTCAAGGCTTTGTTAGTCAACGATGGTGTTGTTGTTTTATAATTTTATAAATATGTAAAGTAAGAGTTTTAGTTGATTTCAAGTACAATTATATTGATTATACATGGTTTTAATATGTTTTTCTACTATAATTAAATGCCTAATGTTTCAACACCCGTAAAAAATTGTGTGTCACCAATTGTGTTGTTTTTGTTTGCTACATACATATTTTATGTATAAGGTAAGAATGTTGATTTTAAGTACAATGTTATTGATTATAGTAGCCTATAACATGTTTTTATACATTTTTGTATTATTATATATATATTATTAAAATTATTTGCCTAATGTTTCAACACTCGGAGAAAAACTCTGTGTTTCACCGATCATGTTTTAAGGTCTAAGACAACGACAAAGGGTTGAATTTAATTGGTTATAAGATTAAGGGTTAGTAGGCCTAAATATGATCCTTAATTTTTATTACGGTTTTTTTTTAGCTGAAAATTGCAAACTCTGCAAATTCCCAACTGACAGAAACGAACAAGACATTGAACCAGAAAGTAGAATCACTGACTCAGAAGTTGATTGGGCAGTGTGATATTGAAAGCAAGATGAATAATTCCTACAGAGAGGAGATAAAGGCTCAAACCAAGCTAGCAGAACTGCACAAAGGTACGTTTGTTGTAATGCAGGTAGTCTTTGCTATACGTTGTAGTGTGGTGAACGTTGTACTGGCAAGGTTCTGACAAGGGAGAAAGGTGTAAGCAAACATATTTTTAGACTGCTACCATCAGTGCTGCAGAAATCTGTTTTATAAACCCTTTCAAACTTAAACAAAGCTCGGTACTCTCTTATTGTGATAGTTCAATCAAAACTAATGGTCTTATACAAAGTTATTGCTATTTTACAACAGAGCTGAACTTACAAATGAAAAATGGCCACATCAAATCGCGTTTGCTAAACTGTGCACTGCTTGTAAGTGACATTAGTTTGTGAATAAAATAACCAACTAATACTTTTATTTGTTTGCATTGTAGGCCTACATTTTTAATACATATTTATGGCTAGGAAAAAATGTCGGAATAGTTTACAATGTGTTGTATTGGATTGATATTACTAAAGTTTATGATACGAATGTCCAAAAAGTGAATAATATATAGATTTCATGATATACTAAGATAGCTTAAAATGCAAATTTATGTACTTTGTTAAAATTAAGCTAATGGTTAGGCCTACATAATTCTTTTTACAAATTGTGAGCATTTTTCTAAGTGACAATTACTCTCCCTTTTTTTAAAATCTCTTCCTATTTTACCTACCAATTTTGTTTGCAGGTATCAGCGAGGAGCTGACAGCCAAGAACCAAGAGCTGACCGATGCTGTGCTGGAACTGCAGAGAGAGTTGAGGGAGGCGACCGAGCAGTACGGAGAGTTAGAGGCCAAGCTGAAGGAGCGAGATGTGGCGTTGGAGGTGACTACGGAGAAGAAGAACCTTTGTATACAGGAATTGAAGAAGGAGCTGGAACATGCCAACCAGTTGATGGAGGCAGTGAAGCAACGTGAGTAAACTGGACAGAATGGATGATGGATCGTTAAAGCTTGCACTCTGTGTGTGTCCTATTTAACTAGGTTTTATCTAAATAATGATTGGTAAAAGTAAGAGTAAAATGGTTACATTAAGAAATGTAAGGTTTATTTTATCTGCGCTGCAGTAAACGTAACTACCTTGTTTAGTTGCAGTAACTGTAGAGATTTTGTACTTATAAGGTCCTTAAATATCCTTAATTTATTCACAAAAACTGTTGATTGCATATTTACTACCCTCGCCAAGCAAAATGTCAAATATACTAGGCCTAAATGTAGAACATAAATTAGGCATGTCAGACTAAATGCTGTTATAAAATAGAAGTAACTATTAAATGTTTTAACTTGTACCTACATGTTGTATTGTTGATGTGTTGTAGAGTCGCTGGAGAAGGCAGTAGAGAGTCTCTCCCCAGCAGCGGCCGCCACCAGTCGTCTGCTTAAGTCAGGCCTCACACTGACACAGCTGTACATGCAATATGCTGAGACTGCTGAGCAACTCATGTTGGAGAAGCAGGAGAATCAACGACTCAACCACACCATCACTACAATCATGCATGTAAGCTCACATACACACCCAAACTCCCTCTTAATGTATTTTAGTTACTTAATCTTAATCTAGATCTTTCCAGCAGGCATTTTTCTGGTTCCTTTCAAAACAGTACATTACATTTCCCCCCGTATTGTCTGATGATTTGCACAAGGTCTTTGGACTTTAGCTCTCTATTTTCTGTTCCTCAATTTGCTGTCTTTATATATATATGCTTCTCAAAATTTAATTTCTGAATGTTGTTTAACTCTTCTAGGCGTAATTTGTTACAGTAGTTACGTCACTCCCTTGCACGTGCACACACACACATTGTGATATTTTATATGCCCGTACTCCTAGTTTAGTATTTCAGTAGAATAATTGTACATTTTTATTTTTACATTTATCTTTATAGGAGATAGAACAGAAAGCACCAGTATTGAAGAAGCAGAGGGAAGACTATGACTATGCAATGTCAACGGTTGAGACTCTGACATCGCGAATGGACGAGATGGAGGTTGAAACTTCTCGGCTCAGAGCTGCCAATCTCGAGGCTGAAAAAGTCTCAACTCATTTCAAGAGGGAGAATAAGAGACTGCAAGAAACAATTGGTGACCTTGGACGACAGGTTGGTGATGTAGGATAAGATATCAGTGGAATACACTCAACTTAATATTAACCTATCTTAGAATAACCAACACAAGTGGACCCATCCCATTGTAAATTTTGAAGCTCGGTTTTCGTGTCTAGCTTATGTTTGGTGACACTGATCGCTAGAGGTGGAAAAATGTTGTTTCTACAGTAGAGTCCTGTTAGTCCGAAATGGTTGGGACCGGGCCCATTTCGGATTAAACGTTTTTTTGTTTGAAATTTTTTTTTCGTCTTATTTCTTACTACTTTTTTTCGGACACAGGCACGAGCCCGGGATTGAACAGTAATAACAAAAATGATGAAATATTTACTAAAATACTCTACAAAAAAGTCTATCTCGCCCAGCTGCTACAGAATACTTTGACGAGGTACAGCTAACTGTGTCAAAAGTTAAATAAAAAAGTTTCAAAAAAATTTCAAAGTTTCAAAATTTCAAAAAATTTTTTTTATAAAAAAAATATATTTTTTGGTTTCGGATTAAGCGGACTTTCGGATTACCGAAGTTCAGATTATCGGGACTCCACTGTATTACTTTAGGGTTAATAATTTGTGCTATACTATTTGGTTATATATCCAGGGAACAAGTTATCGTTTATGATTAGTTTGTGTTATTTGGCTAAACAATGTTTTAAATGATTGAAACAACAACAAAAAATCGTAAACAAAACACAACTTCTACTGTGCACCGGACAGAACTAACAATAAAATTGGCTTCAGCCTCATAAGGATGAGAAATCTACTAAGGGAGTATGTTTTATCTATTATATAAGACAACACTATGGTAAAATGATTTTCTATCAAACTGGTTCACTGGTATACTAAGTGTTTCTTGCTTCTAGGTTTGCTACTTACTCAAAGAAGTTGAAGAATCAAGAGGAAACAATGTTGCCATGAACACATCTCCTGGGCGAGTGTCTGAGAACCTGTCTACGTCATCTCAGGTAGGGAGAAAACAAACACTTGCAGGTTTATATTTCCAGTCAAATTATATTGAGTTCATCAATAAAAAAGTATTTAAAATGTACAACGTTGTGCTGAAACCTAGGTCACAATAATCGACTTATTTTGAACTGGAGACTGAAGTTAAACCAATATATTAGTAAAAAACCAGTTCAGGCGCAATTCCACATCTAAAAAAAAAAAATATATAGTAGGCACCAATTCTTTCAGAAAGGTTTTTTACTGCTTTCATTCACTTAGACTTCAGTTTTAAGTACATAGCCACAAAGCAAACTGCAAATTACAGATAAGCTAGTAGGATTTTATAGATTTTTTGAAGCTTACAAGCAGTGTTCCCGTCATATGCGGTTAGTGTCGTGTAGTCGGTAAAAATTATACTTATATGGGTTTTACAATAAAAGGAGTTCCAATAATAACTATGAAAGTGTGTCATGTTTTAGTGGGATTCCATTGCCAAACACTTCAGGAAATACAGTAAATCAGCTCTTGAGTAGCTTTGTTGATAGATTATAGCTATTTACATTACAAGTGTAGTAAGAGCGTTTTGCATAATTCTCCTAAGTGATGTAAACAAGCTCTTGCGTAACATGTAACGTACAAGATTTTACCTGATCCGACAATATACAGGAGGTTACGAACAATATTTTTCATTATCCATTTCACTCATCTTCTAACAGTAACGTTCAAGAATCAAGAATCAAGATCTTTATTGTCATTGACCTTTTACAAGGAATAGACATAGTCAACAATAAATAAAAACTAAAGCTATAAAATACAGTGGGTTCTAAATTAAAAATTAATATTAACATCAGAAACTAAGTACTCTGTTATACAGTAAAATGGATTTTGGATGAGCCACTCAAACATTTTAGACTTAAACCTATTAAAAGGAACCTGTTTTGCTGTCAGACCTAATTTATTAAAAAACCGTATGCAATTTATTTTATGGCAGTTATCTGTTTTGGCCAATCTATGTGCAGGGATATCTAGATTGGATTTGCCTCTTGTATTGTAAGAGTGTATACTCTCTCTACAAGTGAATTGATGAAGATTGGCTTTAGTGTAGAGGAGTATGTGAAAAATATACAAATTTACAACGGTCATAATTTTAAGGTCTATAAAAAGAAGTCGACAGCTATCCACAGGGCCAGCCCCACAAATTGTTCGTATGACTTTTTTTTGTAATAAAAGAATTTCATGGGTGTGGGGGGAGTGTCCCCATAGTATAATCCCGTAAGAAATATGAGATTGAAAAAAACCAAAATAAGTAATCCGAAGGTATTCATTACTAACAAAATCTCTGAGTTTCCAAATTAGATAATTTACTCTGGAAATTTTTTTACAAGTGATTTCTATGTGCTCTTGCCAATTTAATTTTGAATCAATTTGGAAGCCTAATAATTTTACAGATTTTAATTCATTGTCAAGTGGGGATAGACTCAAAAGAATTTTCTGTGTTTTTTCTTGATTACATGTCAATTTATTTGAAGAAAACCAATTTAGTGCTGATGTTATTGATTCATTAGTAATTAAATCAAGCTCATGGATATCTCTATTTGTTGCAATCAAAGTTGTGTCATCAGCATATACAACAGTGTCTACATCAACATTCCTCGGCAGGTCATTTATCGAGATTAAAAACAAGAAGGGTCCCAAAACCGAGCCCTGTGGAACACCTACTTCAACCAATCTTAAGTTAGACTGACTGCCTCCAACAGATACATACTGCTTTCTATTAGTTAAATAGGATTTTAAAATTTTTAAAGTTTCACCTGTAATACCATAAAATTCAAGTTTTTTGAATAAAATATCAAAAGGTACAGTGTCAAAAGCTTTTGTAAGATCAAATAAAGTTAATGAAACTGTTTCTTTACTTTCAAATGCATTTAAAGATTTATTAATTACTTCTAAGACAGCTGCAGTTGTTGATTTACCCTCTCGAAATCCAAACTGTGAATTTGTCAACAAATTGTTATTTTCAAAATATTCATTCATTTGTTTATGCATGAGACATTCAAAAATTTTGGAAAAGATTGGCACTATTGAAATAGGGCGATAATTACTAGGAATATTTTTATCACCTTTTTTATATACTGGAATAATTTTAGAAATTTTGAGAAGGTCAGAGAAATAACCAATTTTCAAACATTTACTAATACAAAAAGCCAGAGGCTCACTTATAAAATGAATTATTTGTTTGATGCTATAATTTGAAAACCAGTAATGATCCATAGCTTTTGAATTTGAGAAATTAGCTACAACATTGTTAACCTCTTGCCATGATACCTCCCTCCATTGGAAATGTAATTGTCCTATAGGGGGAGTCCCCAGCAACTCATGCGCAGGTGTGTTGGTGAGAGGGATTTCATTTTCCAGCTCATTAACACATTCAATAAAATAGTTATTGAGATTGTCAGCATCCAAAACCTCCGACTTAGTTGATGTAGGAGAATATTCATGCGATATAACTTCCCAAGCAGCCTTGCACCTGTTGGGGGCCTTATCAATATATCTTTCAAAAGCTTGCTTTTTGGCTAATTTTATTTCACGATTGTAGGCCTTTTTACAATCAATATAGGTTCTATAGGCATTTTCCAAATTATTTGATTTATGTTTGAGTAAGCTCTTATAAACAGAAAAACAAAGAAGCATTTTTTCCCTAAGTTTCCTTAACTTTCCATTATACCAATTAAGTTTTCCTTTCTTATGTCTATTGTTTTGTTTGCACTTAACTAATGGGGAACTAAAATGCCACAAAGATACTAATCTCTTAAAAAATTCATCAAATAGTAATTGCTCATTAATTTTACCCATTTTATAGTCCATTATCATTTCCCATTTCTCTTGTACCAATTGATCAACAAAGTGTTTAATATTACTTTCATTTTGCCTTCGTATTATTTGTTTTGTTCCTTCTTTTGAGTTGTTACATTGTTTTATAGTTTTCTGTAAAAATTCTAATATTAAAGGTTCATGGTCTGCAAAACAACCTCCTACTGTATTTATGTTATATAAATCTGATGAAAAGTTTACAATTATATTATCTATGCATGATTTTCCTCTTGTAGGTTTTTTATTTGTACAAACTAAATTTAGACTTCGTAACAGATTGGCAAATTCAATAGATGTCTTCTTTTCCATTTTTATCATTTCTATGTTAAAATCACCTGCAATGGCTACAAATTTAAATGACTTTAACAGCTTTTTCACAGCAAGCTCAAAATTTTCCAGAAACAAACCAATATCACCACTAGGGGATCTGTAAACACTTAAAACTATAAGATCATAATCAATTATTTTAATACAGCTAAATTCACAATGAAGCTCAATGCAAAATAAGCTAACATCTATTTTGGTGAAGGTTAACCCTTCTCTTAAAAATATTCCTACCCCACCATTTTTTATACTTTTCCTACACATGATATCTGCAGCAATAAAATCTTTAGGAACAAAGAATTCAACTTCCCGCTCCTCTAACCAATGTTCAGACATACAAATTACATGCACTTGCTCTATGGCACAAAAGTGTTCTAATTCTAACATTTTGTTCCTAATAGACTGGATATTAACCTGTAAAATTTTTAAGTATTCTTGATTTTCTTTGTTATTTGTTTTAGCATTATTATTTACAGTAAAATCAAAATCATCCATAATTGCAGCTACCGGTAATATGTTATTTATTTTGTTATTTCTAAAAAAACTTCATCGATTTGTTCACCTAACATTCACAAACGTTCATTCACTAACGTTCATTTACAAAAGCTAGGTTAGAAAAATTCTTCCAATCATAACAATAAAATTCAAGTGGAGTTCCGCTTGGAGTTCCGTTATGGAGTTCCGCAAGGTTCAATCCTAGGTCCTCTCTTATTCCTCACATATATTAATGATTTACCTTTTCATTTTTCAAGTCAAATCTGTAACTTTACCCTTTATGCAGATGATACAACAGCTCTCATCAGACGAAGTACTGTTAAAATTTTACATGATGATGTCAAAGAAACAATTGGAGAAATAGCAAATTGGTTTTTAAAAAATGGCTTACTTTTGAATGAAGATAAAACTAGTGTTTTAATTTTCAAATTGAGAAATTCAACCACTGGAACAGAAACTACTGCCTCGCCCACAAATGTAGTAAAGTTTTTAGGGATATATTTGGATAGTAAACTACAATGGACAGAACATATTAATTTTCTAAACAAAAAACTTAGTCCAACAAGATATGCTTTAAGTGTTTTAATTCAGGTTACCTCCTTGGAAGTATGTAAAAATGTTTATTATGCTTATGTGTACTCTATTTTAAGCTATGGTATTACATTATGGGGGACAGCCACAGATGTCCACAAAGTTTTTAAAAAACAAAAGTCAATAATCAGAACTCTTGCAAATTGCCCCAAAAAAACATCATGTAGACAATTGTTTCGAAATTTTAAAATTTTAACTCTAACTTCAATATACGTTTTTGAAATTTTAAAAATGGTTCATGGAAATCCTGGTATGTTTCAAAATTATCTTAGTAATCACTCATATAATACCCGAAGACAAGACATTTTTCAATACCCCACTCATAATTTAAAAAAATATGAAACAGGTCCTCTATATATGGGGTTAAAAATTTACAATAAAATTCCAAACTCCTTAAAGCAATTAAACTTAGCAAAATTTACAGGCAAAATCAAAACAGTTTTAGTAGAAAAAGCATATTACACTCTTGAGGAATTTTTCAACGACTCCTGGTAACAGACACCCAATCTCTCATCAACCTCTCCTAACATAAACAGTTCCACCATGCTGTAGCTTTGTAGGGGTAACTTACTGGCTAAATCCTAGGTTTTTTATATACCTATTTAGATTTACTTATTTATTAGAAACCTTGACAATGTACCTGTCTGTGTATTACATTTGTAATAACTCTAACAGATGTTATGTGCAATAAAGAATTGTCATTTGTCATTTGTCAAGCGCACACCTAATTTCTAGCATTAAACGTCGTTGGCTCCATAAAAGTATATTTTTTAAGTTAAGCACTCGATGTTATTTAAATGGGTTTCATTACCTCACCGAGTGAGTTTTTTCAACTTTACATCACTCGTGTAGTAAAGAAGTTGTATACATCACACTTGGGATTGGGAAGTTTAACATGGCGGGTTAGGTAAAATATTCTACAATATACATTTAACACGTGACATAAGCACACAAATATAAATACCTTGGAATTGATAGGCCTGTCACAGAAAATCAATACAGCTGCAATGGACTGTTGGAGAGTTCGAGTCAGCACTACTTTTAAAATGGTTCTTTTGAAATTTAGATCAGCTGATTGTTTGGCACATCAGATGATCACTTGGCTATTTAATTTATCAGCTGACCAAATTAATTTTATGTATGATTATTTTAGAAAGAACAGCTACTTTGTCGGTCTTTGGAGCAGAGCCGTGATGTTAAAGTTCGCTAGTTACCACCCAACCACTGCTTAGTAAACCTGTTGAAGTTTTCATCAACAATTTTTCCCCTGTGAAACACAAACTAATAAGGATACACTAGTAACTAGTAATAACTAATAGTAACTAGTGTTAGCGACAGAGACATATAAACTTAGGATAATTGAGTCAGGGCCTAATTTTGACTCATATGGATCACAAAATGGGAAACACTATTCTCTTAAGCTGTATAAAAAATCTACAAATAAAAATCTAAATTTTCTCACATATGTTTCGTGTTTAATGTAGTATGGTTGGTGTTTTAGGTGATATCCAAACACCTAGTGACATTCAGAGACATCCAGGAAATGCAGGTGCAGAACCAGAAGTTGCTGTCTGCTCTGAGAGAACTGAGTGAGAAACAAGAACAGGCTGAGCAAGACAAGGTGAATTGAAAGTACATTGTAGTGTCAGTAAAACCTCGATTATTATGTCAACATGCAGATATAGGTTGCCATGTGCTGCTACTTTGTACCCTACTATTTTATAGTATGCATTTCAAAAATAGAATTTTGCATCTAACATCAAAGGACAGTTTGAATTAAATATCACGTGGAATCTACTGCGAATATCGATTTGGATCAATCCTTTAACCTATAAATTCAAAACTTAATTTCAGAATTTCAGCAATACCATGATGGTAATTTATCACAACCACAATAATATTACCAGATTCCCAATCCTGTAAAAGTAGTTATCATGATATTGATAGTGGCTGAAAAACCAAAATGAAAATTTCGAGGAAATAATATCAATTTTCATGACTTGAACATCTCAGATTCCATCATTCATATTGAACTCATGGGTTGTGGTATATCTGGAACTGAATTGGAATCTTCTTGAGATTTGATGGAAACAATGTTCAACTTTGATTCATCACTGGAGTTGGATAATGTTTCACAAAACTACAAACTGTGGTAGGTGACTTAACACTGACTGTCCTCGTAGGAGTCCCAGGTGGTAGAGCAACTAGAGGGCAAGTTGCGACTGGCAGAGCAGCGAGTAGCGTCTCTACTGCAAACAGAGACTCACTACATCAAGATGGTGGACATCATCAAGGGACAGCGGGAGATGTATAGAACACTGTTCCAGCAACAGGTGGCTGGCCTACCTCACACCAAGGTAATCAATCATTTTGATACAATTTGTTTAAATATTTAATCTGCATTGTAAATATCTCCTCCATGTTGCCTGCTTGCTAATATTATCCAGTAGCTGTTGTCATATCAGTATAATGAGATGCAACTAATGCGGCGGGGGTATTCCTTTTATCTAATGTACTTTTCAATTGTCATGAATTGATTGTAAGTCTTTTCTCTAAATTAATGCATTCTCTCTAGTCTCTTTCGTTATAAGTTATTATCTTGTTTGGTTACTAGCATTTCGTTTTCAAATTTAAATATCACCATTATGTGCTTCTGCAAACAATGTTTTTGAAGTGTTACTTGATTATTTAATATTAATCCTTAAAAATCAAACTTCATCAACTGTTCTTATGTTGTTCTTGTTATTTAATATTGTTATGTCTACTTTGTTATTTTACTGGTGTATTGAAATGATTGTTTGAAGTAATTTCTTCTGCAATGATACTGTTAATACGCATTCTTGCATTATTGTAATTGGAGTTAACAGTTAGAAACAACATTACTTTTTTACTTAAATACTTTTACTTTGAAATGGCAACCATAAATCACTCACATTGCCATTTACTGTAAGCATTTACATCGCCAATATGTGTAAGAATAAGATAATTTAGCCCTTAAAAATGCCACTGTGGAAAGTAATGTCAGAATAAAGTATTTCACTCTTACTGTGTACATGATTTTCATTACCTGTTGAATACCACAAACTGAGCTTCTGAATGTTTTTAGATAGAGGAATTGGAGAAATCTCTTGAGTCAGACACAGCCTCGATGCCTGGAACACCTGAGAACAAGTCTTCCACTGCCAAGGCGATTGCCTCTCCTGCATTGCAACTCAAACTGGACATGGTACACACTTATCAGAATAGATTAAAAATACAGTAACAATATAATAAGGTAACTAATACAAGAAACTCAACTGTCCTTTTTCTAGTTTCTTCATGAAAGGAATTTTGAAATGGATGAAGAATAACTACTTTTGATTGAAATTGCATAGTATGAAGTTTTTTCTTCATTTAAGTCAATTTACTCTCTGGTATTTTTTGGGTTACAAATTCATGTGGTTATCCCTGAAAACAAATGTCATTAACATAAATTTGCAAAGCCCTCTAGTGGACTGCAAATCCCCAAAGTTTTCTAAGAAATCACCTCTCTGTAGAATGTACTACTAGGAGTACGCTCCGAAGTTGCGTATGAGAATGAACGAAGACAATTCCATCAAGTTTGTGCGGCGGCAGTGGCCAGACTAACTGCGATTTTTTTGTACCACGGGCGTAATGCTCTTTTATTTTAGAAATAATTCTAATGCCGCATATATCTATCCAAAAATCAAATATAAATAGCATAAGCTCTACTTATGTCTATCATAAATTATAACGTCAGTGGTGTTAGTTATGTTTTTGACTGGGGGTGTTAATCTAAACCTTGGACCTGTTAATTCACAAGGTACTAATTTTTATAGCCCCAAAGCAAAAAGTAACTGGGGTCAGTTTGACACTAAAAATTGTCCAACCTAGGGCCCGTGCCCCTGGGTTAGCCCCCCCCCCCTCACGGTGGTCCTGTAATCATGTGACAGAGTGATTAAAAATCATGGGCTGAGTATCACTTCTTTAAATTAATAATGAGTTATGAACATATTTTTTTAACCTAACGTATTCTATGATACACAACTAAATTGTGTGTGATACATGGCCAAATAAGTTGAATGTATTTCAATGTATTACTGTACAGTACCAAAAACATTAATTGCTCTACTCTGCTTGGTAACGGAGTTGTTACTAAGCTTCAACTACTTACTAAACCTAGCGAACTATGAAGGGTTCTTCAGGTTTTGTATTACAAATTATAACAAAACTTTCAGACAATAACACATACGGATCCGTCCAGACCACGCCATATTATCATCTGAACCGCTTGATGAACCTCAGATTCGTAATTTTAACCTTCTTTTTACAGCCACTTAGGAATCTCACCGACAAAAACCAATTGCATTTTTGGATTCAGCGTGAAAGAAACTGTAATTAAACATCTAAAAAGTACATCATATCCCAATGATGACATACTAAATAATTGCCGTGAAGTATTTTTTTCGGATACATAACATTACATATCTGTATTTATCCGATTTAATTTTTGTACTAAAAAATATTCTTTATTCTTTTTTTATGTAGCCTAAACATAAAATTAATTAATTGTTTGTTCGGTTTTTGTTTATATTTCATAAATTAAACTACTGTCTACTAATAGCAGACAGTAGTTATTTTCTTCAGTATTTATTATTATTCAGTATGATTCAGTAGTTATATTATTAGTAGTCTAGTCTACTAATAGCAGCTACTAATAGCATAATTTACCAAAGGAAACAAAACAAATAGGCCTAGGCCACCTAATAACGAAACAATTAAGGATAAAAAAATAAAATGCTTCGTTAATGTTTTTGTTATTTTTTTATTTATATCATATGGTATCTTAAGATTAGCTAACTCAAATTTGATACGATAGTCAAGTTATTATTAAACCGATTTATAGTTATGTTAGGTACCTTTTTATAAACTCATGAAAAAGATCAAAATTAACTTACCGTAGTCAATGTCTTTTTAAATTCATCTCTTAAACAAATCATACACAAAAGATTTATATTGTTTTTTAGAAATGCTACCTTTGTTATTAGGCCTACAGTATTATAAACTAAAAAGTAAGCTACACAGTGTAAAGAGTATCCATTAAAAATATGTTAGGCATAAATTGTTCAATATTGAAAGAGACCTAGGCCTACAAGATAAATGGATTAAGGCAAGTTGTATCACCTAGAAAAATGAACTGATTACGATATTTTATAGCCTAAACTTATAGGCTATAGCAAACGAATATTTCATCTTATAACTTATCGTAGGCTAGGTTCCCTGCGAAACTGTCCCCCTGAAAATGGGTAACTTAACCTAAGTAGGCCTACTAAGGACACAGGTATAGTAGCTAGAAGAAAGTTATAAATTACCTTTTCAGGTCTAGGTAGGCTTATTAAGGCCTATTTGCTTGATTGGATTTACACTAAAATGTCCTATACTAAATTAGCCTAAATTTTATATTTTTAAGGAGACATTTTAGTGTAAATCCAATCAAATAGGCTTTAATAAGCCTACCTAGAGCCTAAAGGCAACTCGATACATTATAACCTAAACTTTACCTTCCTATCTAACCTAACTTCAAAACACTTAATGCAGTCACCAATTCACATACAGCACGACCTACCACCCTGACATACCTAAATAAGAACTACAGTATGTAATTAGTCCACCAGTCCATCTATATCTCCATAATGTGACGAAATTACTATTATAGAAAACATTATTAACTATAGAATCACTTGAAATGTTTCTACAACAATGTTATCATGTTTAATCAACGATGTTCTTCTTCTCATCAACAATGTTACTCTCTTCACTTAACCTTGCTTGTCGTGTGGTTGAAAACAGTCAGCTGTAGGCTTAGTTACCCACAGTTCATTTCACTTGTAAATGTTATCCATCCTACCTTGTTTATTGTAATGTTGTATGTTTTTACGGCGATATCTTGAGAAATATTCATCAGCGGTGAAAAATAATGGTATATTTGGATTCAGGAGGTAAAAAACTATCAAGTAAGATATTAAAATTAAAAAATTCGTTTGGAGGCACCTATACGGAATAAATACCATTTTTTTAATTTAGCCTATAAGTCAACAAATATTTAAAAATAGCCACTTTGTTCTAAATTTTATGAGGATTCCCAAAATGTAATAATATAAGGGAAGTAGGTTTGCAAATAAATAAGTTATGGGTGAAAAACAGAGTTCGTACATTTAGCGTCATCTAAGAATGCATAGCCTAACCATAGCTAGGAATCTGGCAGATAATTTACATCATTATCACTACCTTCTTCTTCAGGATCATTAACCAGCCCTTCAAAATCACTTAAATCTTCTTATAATGCACCACGTACATCACTACTTTTGATTTTTAACACTAAAACAATGATAAACGTAATAAAACACATCAGTCATCCGAGTCATCGGTGCGAGGTTAACCAAGTTGTTTACAAATACGCACGTCATCTGTCTGCTACAATATTTTCGAAACTAAAATGAAAAGCGTCTAGAAACAGACATCAGGAGAAAGTTTAGAATCTGCCGAAAACAACGATATCAATCTCGTTCCAGTTCAATCTGATTCAGTCAGTCCCAGAGCCTTCGCTGTAAACGATGTTTGTGTGTCGCAAAAGTGACGCATAAGACCATTGCGGGGGTGTTGTGCGTCGATTACACGACGCTTAACACTCAGGAGGGTTAACTTAAATTAATTAGACTGTAGAAAAGGCCAAGGTAGGCTAGGCCTATTACCTTTGATTGCAGGCTACCCTACTTCATAGGGAACACTCTGTCAGTTACACTTGATAGTGTAACCAAGTTAAGTTAAATAGGTCTAGCTTATAACTTACGCGATAACGTTAAGTTATAGGCCTAATATCAAATTCAAAATAACACTTGAAAGATCATAACTCAATAATGACGATTAATTTTTGAAACACTTAACCAGACACAGTAATTTAAGTTCCTTCCTTGCTTAGTCTCTAATGGTCTCTAACCAATGGCCATGGCTCCCTCAGTTCCTAACCTAGATCTAGTGTATGCCATTGACAACAGTCACAAAGATAGGTATAAAGTGAATTAACTCTTACACACAAGGAGTAATATTTGCGGTTTATTCATTAAAATGATTGTATCAAAATTAGGGATGGTCAAGTCTCGAAATTTCGGGAAATTTTCGGGAAATTTTCAATCTCGTTACACGAGACGAGATTACTTTTTGGCCGAGATTTTTATCGAGACGAGAATTAAAAAAAAAAAAAAAAAAAAAAAAAAAAAAATTAAAAACGCCTGCAGAAAGTCAATGCAATACCCGCAATACAGGAGCGTGTTGTAGTTGCGTTTCCTTTTCGAAGGCGTTCTTATTTAATTAATTCTTTTAATGTAAATATTACTTTAATTCTTTTAATGTAAATATTACTTTCATTATTTTAATAATATTACTTTAATAACATTTGAGAAGTTTTGTTAAGTGTAAGCATTGTGAGGAATGTTTTATTACTATAAAAAAAGTCAAAACAAGTAACTATTTTATAAACATTAATATTGCTTTTATTTTATGATTTATTTTATTTTAGGATAAGTTGAACTCTATCCTAACTGATATCACCATGTTTCCTAATCGTAGGAATTTTTAATAAGTTAGGCGTGATTAATAAAAAAATGTTATTCTGATGTTATTTAATGAAAGATTGTAAATATTCTTGCCTATTATCATTATTTTAGTATTTAAACAGTCATCTAACAATGTTACAAAATCAGGTAAAAATTTCGAACGTGCATTTCCCGTTGTGTATGAGAAGAGAAATCTCGTCTCGAAATTTTATGAGAAATAAAAAATCTCGTCTCGTCTGGTCTCGAACTAAAAATCCAATCTCGTCCATCCCTAATCAAAATGTTAACTATTTTATTTTACAGCCAACATTAACAACAAATACAACCGACAGAAAGCGCTTACAAACAACCGACGATAAGAAAACTATGTAACTTAGCCTATATGTTTGAAAAAAAAAAATAACTCTTAAAAAAATCTGATTGGCATAGGCAGAGTGTGCTATAACAATAATATTGAAAATTAATAATATAAAAAGCTCAAGACAATGTTAAAACCACTTATTTTTAGAAACCCATCATGCCACCCAAGTGATAAAGTTCACACATTATTTTAATTAACAAGCATTCCAAGGACTGTGGTCTTACTTCAAGCCTAGACCTACTAAATTAACAACCATAAAAACATGTAAAAAGTTCAAACATGTGACTACCTAAACATTTTTATCGATTGAAATACATTTCGGTGGATATTTTATATATCCCATATTTATTTCCTCCATTAATTTTTTTTTGTAATAATTGTAATTTAAAGATTTATTATGTATAAAAACCATTGACTAATATAATATACCTACAGATGTTAAAACTGTTTACTCCATGGATGAAAGAAATAATAGAATTCACTTCGGTCTCTAGAATTCACAACAAAATTGTTGCTCGTAAAATGTAAACAAAAAGAAGAAGAAGAAGGTAGCTCCTAATGTTATTCTTGTGGGGGAAAATTAAAATGGTTTTTTTAGGATTTTATAATTATTACTGATCAAATAATCTCGAATAACGAACTTAACCGAGATAATATGATAAAGAACCTTTGTGCAAAACATCAACTTGATATACGAAGTTATATTCGAGTTATTGGAGATTGATGAGATGGATTTTACACCAGTATGAGAATTCACTTTGTTCATTCAATTAGTTAAAATATACTGCCTTTTGTTATTTGTAATAGTCATACTACAGATGATGTGAACGTTTATTTTTTATTAGCTGTCTGTTTTGTTCGTGCAATTTTTATCCATGTCTTGTAAATATTGATCAGAAATATAGTCGCTTTTTATATAGTTTAAATTTGTTTTTCATCACAGTTATAACTTAGATTTTCCCCAAACATCTCCACTTGGAAGAATAATTCAAGACTATCTTAAGTGTTTAACTTTTAGATGGAACAAAAGTTGAAAGACAAGATAGAAGAGTTGAAGCAGTTGCAAGAAGAGTTTAACACATACAAGAAGGAGAAGCAGACCAATGAGAAGATGGTGAGCGAGTCGTTGGACAAGGCTAGAGAGGAAGCTCACACATTGGCCGTTAGCAAGAGTGAGATTGCTGCCCGCCTGGAGTTTGCGGAGGAGAAGTTTAAGGTAATTATGAAATAATGAAGTAAACAATTGTAAAAATTGTTTTGGTTTGTAAATTGTATGTTTTATTTTTAAATTATTCTTGTTGTTAGAGTTAGGACGTCATTTTTAGTTACTACTCGACTTGAGGTTGAGTGGAAAAAGTTAAGAATTTACTAAGTATTAGTCGAGTACTCGCCCACCCCTATTTTTAGGATGCAGTTTTGAAACCCCAAAAATTGTTTAATTTGATCATTACTAAGTAGTAATCAGAGGGTTTTTTATTTTTAGTTCGGAAAGTAATGAAGAGTTTTCTTACTTTTTATAGTTAAAACAAATAAATACTCACTTTATTTTACAATATGAAACAAAATTATTATTCACAAAAATTATCACAACATTCCTAAATACACATCCTTATATATAATACCTGAAGGCGATTTCTACGAAACACTACTCCTCCGTTAATAATGGACGGATTTTTACAAACGACGTGTCAAAATAAAGTATTTTTTGTGTAGACGCCCCCTTTTCCCAATTCCTGTAATAAAAATCCTCGGGCTATAAAGTTGGAGTTTCTCCCATAAGATTAACATGGGGGAATCTAAATATTTAATTGGAAACTTTGTCCCCACTAATTTAAGAGAACGGCTGGGCGTAGAAACTTGGTAGAGGTGTCCAAAGAAAGGTCTTGGTCTGTAGATGAGTTATCAAAAGAAAAACTAAGCCAAATCCCTTAGGACTCTGCCCCAGAGTCCTTTAAAGATCCCTCCACAGAGCTGTTTAAATTTTGGCCATGTGAATAATGTGAATAAAACAGCTGTTTATTTTTAAATTGTATTTCAAACAACACACATTTATTGGGAGTTACTGAATTCCACCAAAGTATTTGCAATTTTATTTTCTGATTTTAAAATTGATTTTCTTCATTATTATGTCATGTTTTGCAATATAACGTTCCATTACGAAATCAGTGGAAAATGCTGGTGCAAGAGGGACTATTACAAAATTTTTTGACGAATTAAAAAAAAAAATTTAATCTTCCATCAAAATTAAAAAATGAAATAGTCATAAAAGTGTTAAAAGAATCATGTAAAATCATTCAAAATCATTTATATGGACAACGTTATTAATCTATGTTACATGTTATTTATATCGTAAATTTAAGATTTTTTTACTGTGTCTAATAGGCAAAGTTTATTAATAAACTCAGTTTTCAAAATAAAAAAAATAATAATATTTCTTATTGAACTATTTTATATCTATTGTGGGTTGTTGTCTGCCTTTTCCACCACATTTTGTCATATTATTCTACACATATAAAATATTTATTTAGAAATATCTGCTCTTATCGTGTCTAATAAAATCCAAACATAGAAACCTTGCCTAAAATGGTACCCATCTTGACAAATTATTTGCACCTACCTATATTACGAACTTTGGCGCACTGGGTTTGGTAACATTATTGAAAATAACACAACATTTTGGCTGTAATATATGGTACAAAGGGAAAATACTATTTAAGCAGCTACTGTCATGACAGAAAGGTCATATTCCTTTTAAACTAGATCACATAATCATTTATAAGATGCGTTGATTAACAATATGTAAACGTCAATATATACGTAACGAACAGCCAATTTACAGTATTTGTGCTTTTTGGAAATGTCCCATTGCTATGCCATTTGCATTATTTGTTGCCAATGAAGCCGCAAGACCATATGAACTAGGAGGCCCCTAACAGTTCAAGAATAAAAGCCAACTTCACTTTAAGTATTCCACTACACCTAAAATTCCGTAGAGAGATTCTATTGACAACTGTATGTTATCGATAAGGCTGAGACAACTAACTTGCATCCCCCGTGACAAGGAATCCCAGCTCTAACAGTAACCCCACAATCAATTTCTCAAAACCATGCTAGAGGGTTCATTCATTGGCACAGAAGTACGATATGAACTGACGCGACGTGACGAAGGAAAAATCAAACTTACACTGTAACGGATAAACCTCCCTTTGAAGTTAGAATATGTCTTCCCAAAAATATTTTCTTTTGAAATAAAATCATATTACACTGATGAAATCAAGGAATTGTTTAACTGCAAAAGATCCACCAATACGATTTTAATACTATTTAAAGGTTCTTCCAAAGGAAGAGATACCATATAACATACTAATAATAACTCCGATGACGTACGGTATGGAGAATATTTTATTCATTGAATGATCAACCAAATTTGGCAACTAACGCAATTAATATCATTATTGTTTTTACACGTATTACTCTTAAAACAACTAAATGCTCAAAATATGTATATTTCACCCAATTTATCACAGTTAGATGAATTAACGTAAGCCTTGAAAGTAACAGTCGATTTTGACGGGTTTCACCTAGTTCCTATTCCAACAAGTTCACAACAGCTGTCCCTTTCCAGCACAGACAGGCTTAACAAGCAATACCACTACACCATATTGTTAGGTGCACAAACAAACATTTTATTTTTATCTTACATTTAACAAGTAACACAGTTCGGCTAGATTATCTGAGGAAATTACAGGATGGATTGGACTAAAGATTGTAAATACACCAAAAATGTTACACACTATAGGTACTATACTAGGTACTGTACTGCCTTTTGATTTATTAATACACAAAAACTCCAACTGTCCAAATCAATTTGGACTTTACTACATTTGGATGAAAAAGTTTAGATAGTCCTAGTTTCTTTTTTAGAAATTCTTCGTTTGTGTATGCATTTTCAATATAATTGTTGTAGAAAAATAAAATATAATTTTGTTAATGTTGATACTATCACGTTATTACGGAATGCCTCTGCAAAGATTTCACAACCAAAAAATTCACGCCAAGAGTGCGTAGGACTATGATAACGTTTTTGTGATTGTAGGATGGTGATGTCTACATGTCCGCAGGAGATATTCTACAATCTAGTGAGTGATTCAAATGATGGGCAATTTCTTAAACTATTACTACAACTATTTTAAGAAAAATAATTTTTGTTGTAGGTGTTAAAGGCCAACGCTGATGCATACAAAGCCCAGATCCAGGCTTTAGAAAAGAAGAACAACAACTACTCGGTCACTATCGGCAAACATGAGCAGTCAATCACCTACCTGAAAGATGTGAGTCTGTCATTACACAAGCTTTTTAGTCATAGTGAAGCATATATTCAAGGTGGTATAGGCCTTCGTTCTGGAAATTTTGAAGGTGTTTTAGGAATCAAGTTTTAACTTTTTAAATTTGAGTCTCTGTCACTTCCAAAATTTTGTTTGGGGGAGCGAGCTGGTCTAGTGGTTAGACCGCAGGACGTTGGTCCAAGAGGTCCCGGGTTCAAATCCTGCCAAATCAAGAATGGATTTGATCTAAGTGATAATGCCGCAACCCCTAGGTCTAGCCTGTAGGAATGTGACAAAAAAATAATTTTTTTGTATAAGATTTTTTTTAATCTTCCTCAAGTATTTTGTTGCAAAATACTTACCTGCATTATGTTTTCCTAAGTCCATGTACTTGGTTGTGTTTTTTATGATTTTTTCTTTCCTTTAATCTTTGCACATGTTTCAGGAATGTATAACAGCGACCAAGAAGCTTGCCCAAGCAGAAATAACTCTGGAAAACCTCAAACGTGAACACCAGATACTGAAGGAGTCCGAGGCGCGACTACAACAAGAGAAGGAGTTGACCGAGCGCCAAACCAACAGCCAAGCTCTGCTGATGGCTAACCTAGAGATGATCAAGAACTCATTTGAGCGCACAGAGACTGAAGGTCGGCTGCGGCTGGAGTCCAAGCTGGAAGAAGCACAGAAAGAGTGCTCAGCGCTGAGGCGACGACTACAGGAAGAGCAAGACAGGTTCCGAGAGCGGACAGACGCGTTGGAGCGTGCTGCAGCAACTGCACGCAGCAGGCTAGACGAAGAGAAGGAAGTGGCACTGGGACTGAGGGCGGCGCTAGAGTCTACCAGACTGGAACTGCGCCAGACCAAGGAGGCGGTGGATCAGCTGAGCAACAAGGTGCGGACAACAGAGCACAAGGTGGTGCCCGACCCCAACACTGGTGAGTAGAAACTAGCACATTAGTGTTTGTGTGCGTTTATAACCTGTAATAAGATGCATAAGTGCCAATGCCTCTGACAAGAACCATTATGTAAGTAATTTATGTTTGTGAACATGGTTTCCGTTGAAAGATAATTTAAATAAACACCAATGACTTCAGAGATTATCACTGATGACTATCCAGACTCCTCTCACCTCTCAGGACAAGTTTTGTATTAGGTAAAAATGGGGGAGCTATGTTGTGTTACCTTTAACTGTGTGGACTCTTATTTTCTCAAGTAAGCTAGATGAACTCTAATCCTTTTAAAATAAAATAATAATTAGTAACTTTGCATTCCTTTAGAATGCCTTCATAAACTATCAACAACTGCAATAAACAATTCAATTGAGCCTTCCACCATTTCCACCCTTATCAACAAACCAAAGTACCGTAAAAAGTCAAATAAAAGAGATAATAAAGAGTCCTTCTTCTACTAGGAGTCTAGATTGTGCACGATTCTGTGTGCCAGGCTCGCTAGTTTTTTATATAAATTGTTTCAAAGTAAAATTGAACATAAATAAACTGAGTACCCTCTTAGGCATAAAATTATTTATTAATTGCATCAAAACATATCGTTTTAAACACTTAATTTTAATGTACTCGTTTAACTTTGATGTACCTAATGTTTTTGTTACAGAAAAACGAGCTTCACAGCTAGAACAACAGCTGGCAGAGAAGGATGGTGAACTGGTTTGTCTGAGAGAGCAGCTAGAGGCAGCCAGGAAGCATGGACAGGAACTGTCTGACTTGGCCTCTACACTGGAGAAACAACTGGCGGAGGTGACGGCGGCTCACGACAAACATCGTGGAGAGGCAGACACACAGTCAGTACTTGTCAATCTCACCATACACACAACTAACTTTAACCAGACAGTTGATAGCTCACAACAAGTTCACAGTTGATTTGATATTTTATTTTGCCTCTTGAAGAGGGCTTTGTCAGAAGTACTTAGGAATCTACTTAGGAATTCGGACTGAAGAACCAATGATAATACAAATTTAAAAAAAATGCTGACAGCCTACAACAAATTTGCTCCAATCTGTCTCAATAGTCTTCAGGAAAATAGCATAACTTTCAAAAGGAACATGTTTCAACTCTTAGAGTGTTCAACAGATTGGTTATCTATACGAACAATGTTCAAGCTTATAGAAGTATCAATCACAATACTTACGAGACTTCAGTTATCTCTAATTTAAATCTGGCTATCATTAGATTTTTCACTGGTAGTAGTAGAAGACGCGTACGCGCTACGTAACTACATGGCGCTCCCAGAAGTGTGCACCAGAACCTATGGTAACCGCAACACGGCTGACAGTCTATGTGAAAACTAACTCTGACTATAACATACAAATTAAATGACTTGTTCTATCCATAGTCAAAGATGTAAATTAGTTCCCTTAAGAATTTAGTTGATCTTCGCAAGAAAGGTCATCAATGACAATAAAACTCTTGATTCTTGAGTTATTTGACCTATACCTGAAGCATCTTGATTGGCTTTGTCAAAAGGTTGAAGGCCATGTCAGCCAGAGAGGCGGAGATGAAGAAGACGTTGGCCGACTTGGAGAGCCGTGTTAGCTGCTTGTCTGCGGCCGCACAGCAAGACGGTTGTCAGGCTGAGCTGTCGTCTGCTACAGCACAGTTGGCCAGCCTGAGTGTGGAGGTGGCCAGCCTGCGGCAGGAGCTGATCGTGTCCAGACAAGCGTGTCAGGCGGCCGAGGACAAGTACAGCCATGAGATGATGCTGCACGCTGAGGACATGCAGGTCTGTTTAATGTTTACTCCAAAAAGTTTTTAAATTTAATTTACTGTTGAAAATGTCTTAAATGAGCATCTATTGATCAGCCAAAATATTTTCTTGCTAAAAGATTATCTTATTTATGAAACCAATAACCATCATATACAAAATCTAAGATCAACTGAATCCCTAGATGGGATTTTGATTTGTCTATCAATCTATTGGCAAAATCACAAAATTGCATTTTGAGTTCACCTGTTATTTTCATCAGGTGGAATTAATCATTAGGTGTAGTTGATTGATAAGAGTGAGTTCTTAGGCGATGAGCAAGGTGAAGAAGGAGCTGCTAGATGTGTCAGGACGTGTGGAGACATTAGAGGCTGAGCGGGAGGCCGCAGTAGAGGCTCTGAGACTGGGCAAGGAGGGCTGGGCCTCAGCCGAGGCCGCTCTGCAAGCTCAGGTCAGTCATGACAACCAAACAGTTTTAAACAACCATACTGCTATTGGGAACTGTGTGTATTCCTCGTTAACAGTGCAGCATGGAGCATTAGCCATGCGTTTCAAATGCAGTTTCAACGAACAATAGCCATTTTAAAACACCAGGATCAAAGCTTCATTAATTTTTTCTTCCACCTTTTACCACTACACTGAATTTAATCATAGTAAAATCAAAGTCAAAACCACAAAGTCAAAAACCACCACTTTAAAAAAGCACAAAGATACAGAAACAATGTCAAATGTATCTAAGCAACTTCAAGGCTTGTAAGGACCGTAGATGCAATCTGTATGACAATAAACATGATGTGTCTATTAACACGTTGAAAGCGGGCTATATCTAGTGATGAAGCGGACTGACTAGTAGATGTAGTCGCGCCCTATACATTAGTTCAGTATGAGCTCAGCCATTGCTGAGGAACGTTGTTGCCAGTCTGTAGCTAAGAATGTGAGCTTTATTTTGGTGTAGGTTGGTACTAAAATTTCCCGTAAAATCCCGTCTGGCAATGCTTTTGTCCCGGTTTTGACCATTTACTCCCTCCGAGTTACAAAGGCAAAGAGACTGGCCACGGATCTAGGCAGTGCTGCTGCCTGTGGGTGTTTCAGTGAACTACGTCCACCCTCGGGGTAACGTAGCACCATCACTGCCGATTTTGATGAGCTTACAAAAATAAATAATCTAGTATATTGAAGTGTTTTTACACAGTTATTGGTCTTGGAGAAAATTCTAAAAATTGTAAATTTAAAACTCCAATGATAATCTTATGGAGAGTTTGCTAGTTTATGGATATATTTTTATCAAACTTGGTAGCAGCAAACCTAGGTAGCTGTACGTCCAACTGTAGGGATCGTGTTTTGTTTACAATTTGTTTCTTGATATTTCAGTCATTTAAAACCTCGTTAAATAGATCTCAAAAATTTATATTTCATGGATCAATTTTATTGTCGTTACAATTTGAATGAAAATTTAGGCGCGAGACGAATTTGCGAGTTTGTTGCGTCAATTCATTACTCATGTTCAATCAATCGTAGCACCGATAATCTTGCACGGAACCGGTTGTGTTTGGTTACCAATAGTAAGATTTTGTTCTGGAGTTTATTTTCGTATCAAGAATCACGTGATTCTTAATGTCAGACAATTTGGGAAATAATATTTAGAAATCAGCTGACATTTGAAATGACAAATCGTCATTTAGCTTTAGGCAATGACTAATAAATCAATAAAGGATTGTGTTAGCGTGATGTAATTTATGTAGTCACTAGCCAGAAATAAAAACGCACAATATTTGAACTACACTTTTGTTGTTGACACGGCATAAATTAGCTGTTTCTTTGGTGACAGTTGTCATTACTGTTGTGCGGCGTTCACGTCTCGTGAGTCTTGTGTGCGAGCTGTAAATACGTATTTTTTTGTGAATATTTGTGTTTTATTGTTACAAATGTGTTGTTATGTTTGTTTTCTTGAATGATGTGGTTATAATTTTTATCCATGTTATTATGGGTAATGATAATATGACCCATAATAACATGGATAGTAATAATTCCTATCACATCCACTCATTAAACAAAACAACACATTTGTTACAATAAAACACAAAGATTTACTAGTAAATTATAAGTAAATGAATAGTATTTGTGGAAAATAAAATGTGTTATTATGAAATGTCGCTTGATTTTTAGTGATAACGAAACGCTCGAGACCAAACAATTCGTCAATTGATCTTGACCGGCTACTTGCCAATTGACCTTGACCGGCTACTTGCCAATTGAACTTTACCGGCTACTTGCCGAACAGTGCGTTTCTCATCTAAAATGCTTATGGAACCTTTTTATATATACTATGAAATATATACTCAGAGATATATACTATGAATATTTGTACCATTTATCAATATATCATAAAGTAAAAAAAAATACATACAGCTTTGAATAACTTATTTTTTTTTACGATGAAATCAATGTTTTCTTTTTCAACTCATATAAAACTTATAAAACAGTTATTACTGTGCACTAAAGTGTATTATATCATATAACTATATTATTACCTTTACTATATAACAGTCTTGGCTTATTACAGTGATATTTGATATTTTTTTCTGCGTTTCAAATAATTAGTGTACATTTATTGATATTTTCCAACTTTGTATATTAATTTTTTTAGATGGGGTGAACAGTTTTTTTTGTTTTTTTTTTATCAAACATATTTTGAAGAGAGAGAAATAAAATGTCTACATTTTGTATATCTTGGATTTTTTGTTCATAATTTTGTAGGAAAATACCAGGACTTTGTAAACAAAATTACTCAAATTTAAGTTTTTTCAACTGTAGCAAAAAAATTACCCATAGGGGTTTTTGCTTATTTTCTTTATTCAAAATCTCCTTCTTTTTCTCTACAAAATGAGTAAGCATATGCATATGACTAGGTTATCATTAGTAATTTAGACACTGCAAATTTTTAAAAAGAACTTGCGAAATCGCAAAAAAGGCAGGGACATTCATCCAAACCATCAGGGCAGACCTACGGTTAACTTATTGAAATGAATTGTATCAAACATGCAGTCTTTTCTCTTTAAGTCCCAAAAATAATCTTTCTTTTCTTATAGGCTAAAAGTAAAACCTATCTAATAGCCATACTTTTCTCCACAGACTACAGCAACAACTTATTTTAACTGCACTGTCTTTAAAACACCAGGGCTACAGGTTTCAGTCAAAATACTTTTGTAAACATTGACAATGTGCTGTTTTTATCACAGTTTATTTCTTGTCCATTATCATTTTTACTCACTGGAGAACAGGCTTCAAGTATTAGTAGGCCGAGATATACATACAAATTTAAATTTATAATGAGTTAACTTAAGTCAATCAATGCAATTGCTTTTACAAAGAAATAAAAAAAAAACTGACAAATGGCTGATAATTACCGATAAGCCTATTTATACATTAGAGTAAAGTTTATCTGGTCTCATGCTTTAGTCAAATGCAAACATTTATTTTAAAATTAACACTCAGAAACTTTTGTTTAGTAGAATTATGCAAGCAACTGAGGGTGAGGAAGGGCATGTGAACCAGGCTTTGCAACAAGGGCAAATTCTGCCAAACTTTCCCTTGTCACGTTAGACGGGGGGGGGGGGGGGGGGCTTCACACTTAACACTCGCAGTTCATTCACATTCACAGTAGAGTTGAGTTTTTGTGGTAGTGACGTCACGTGTGTCTCTTCTCTCTTGTCTGCCCTTCACAGCCAATTAATTATCCTCCAGTTCACAGCTCACACATCGGCGTTCGTCAAATTATAATATAAGTGATAATTTTTGTTTATAATCAGTGAAAAAAGGTTGACCTGTTCGGGGAAAAAAGTTAAACAAATAAAAGTTTTTAAAATGTGGTTTGTTTTATTATTCTGTATTAAAAGATATCGTCATTTATGAATGTGTTTTCAGCTAGACTTGGTGACTTATTTTCATAGTTTAACAACTGTTGAAGATATAAATAGAAAATGTCATTATAATGAGAAAATATCATTATATACGATTTAAGTTCTAACTAATAACTATTATCTTTTTGGTAGGCCAAATCAAATCAAAATTTCCTTTATTTTGTGTTAAATAGACAATTTTTACAAGGTATAATGTGTACAATAGAAATAAGTTTTAAGATGTTTAGCTAAAAAAATAAACAAAATTAACCCCACATGGGATAACCCGTGCTTGGGATTGAGTCGTATTATGTTACGATAAGAAAGAAATAATAAAGTTTGATAACATAAAATAAACAAAAACAGGTACTTCTCACAGGCCTACTCACTGATTTCTTTGAAATTTTTAAATTTAACACAAACTTTTATTAATTTCAATTTTTATTTTTATTTTCACATCTATTTATTCATCATGTAATAATGTATCAAATAGACAATAAACACGTATCAACTTTTTTGGTTCGTCCTGATCCTAAATGAACCGGAAGTATTGAAAGCCAACCACTATAAAAGTGGAAATTATGTTACCGCACATCATAAAATAAACTCAATTTTATTTAATACAGGTCAAAATAATAACAATTGCTTTATTGGTATAGGGTTATTCTAATTGTTAGTGAAGTGTGGATTTCCTTAGGCCAACCATAAAATTAGCATTGTCCATCAGTAGGAGGTTTGGTCAGCAACTATCCTCTTGTTCATAATTTTATTTAGCATATTTTTTACTTTAAACTTTTAGAAGGTAAACGATTCATTTCAGAAACACATGTTGTATTTAATTTTGAAAGAAAATCATGCCATGCTGCATCGAATCGCATCAATTCAAATCAAAATTATTTGAATCACGTTGATGCATCGAATCGAAAAAAAAAATGCTGCATCGCACACCCCTAGCAATCAGTGTGGACTAACACGAACTAGACAAAAAAAAAAGCTTTAAAATTTACAATGGGATGAGGAGTCTACTTGTGTTGCTTAGTCTATGGTTACATGTACAAATGTATACCTTCAGGTAGAGCAATCTAGTATGTGATGTGTTTAAAGTGTTGGTTTTGTGCAGGTGTCCGAGTTGAACTCTCGACTGACAGATCTGGACAAGCAGAACTCGCTGTTACATGAACAGCTGCAGGAGTTGGGACTCAAAGTAGCAGTTGTGAGTTCAACAAGCAGCCAGGTCTGTAACTAACTTGATGTTTCTTATTGAAGGAAAGTTGTTTGCTAGGATGTTTACAAATAAACTTTTAGGTTAATGTTTTCTAGGAATTATTTACTACTAAATTGAAAATCTAAATCATTGTGATCAAGTATTACTTAATATAGGTATCTTACTAGTGATAAATAGGAGAATAACATAGAAATTACACTTGACGTCAAAATGAAAGCAGTGACCAGCGATGCACTTTTATTTTATGGCTTATTGTTGTAATGTGATGTGTAGGCCAACACTTCGCTGGACACGTCAATGGAGGACGACATGCGCAGCTCTGATCAGCTGTTGCAGGTGCTCAAGTACATGAGGAGAGAGAAGAATATCGCTGTGGCACAAGCTGACGCACTGCGAGCCGAGACACTACGACTGAGATCTCAGGTATAGGCAATGTTCATATAGCCTCAGATTGTTTGGTGATGGTAGAGTAATTGAAACTGGTGAAAACCTATGAATAAAATAACATTTACTTTTTTATTGATATGGGAGAATGGTGAGAATTACAAGTATTTGTTTATAAATTGTGTTAAAGTAAATATCTTTTAGTTTTACTAATGAAAAATAATCAGTTTTAAATCATCAGATTAGATCCTTGTATTGGGTGTTTTTTAATTTTGTATATTTTAACTGCAAAGGCATATTTTACATTTTTTGTAAGGAAGCTATCCAAACACTGATTTTACCTCAAAATCTTGTCCGCTGATAGCATCATTAATTGATAGTCTAATGACTTATTGCGTTTGGGACCAGATTCAACTCCGCTTGGATCAAACCAGCAACTTAGATTCCAAGGCAAGCACTGAAACAATTCCACTACCAAGACTATACATATAATTATAATTTTGATACTTTTGGCTGTTACATCAGTTTGTCTCTTCCAATACTGTATCCAAAACCAGTTAAAAATCGTTAGAAACAAAGCAAGCTCCGTTGTGACAATAAATACTGTCTGCAAACACCAAAAGGATTTCAGCCGTCAATACAGTACAGTTTATTGTATGTTGATGTATCAGGTGGAACTACAGTCTCGTCAGCTGATGGAAGCCAGACAGATGTTGGACACAGAGCGCAGTCAGAGTCAGCTGTCTACCACTACAGCCACCAAACATGAGGAGCTGCTCAGAAAAGTAAGAAGCTTCCAGCTAAGATGATTTTTTTGTTATACCTTAAATTACATATATGGTATTTTTGTATGGTATGGTTTCGTAGGATGCATTTTATCACATTTTATTGGGAGTAGAGTCGATCAAGACCTGAAAATGAAAGGGTTTCTTTATTTTTGGAGTAAAAATATCCAATCTTCAGGCCAACATTGGGACGGATCTTTTTTGATGATGCAAAATGTCGAAGGACACACAAAAAAAAAACATCAACAAGTAAATGAAAACAAATAAAATATGTTAATATTAAACTTGTGTTAACTTAACTTCTTTTTGGAATCCTTTATAATAATAGACTATATGGTTTGACTATATGGTATCTTACTAATATTATAAATCTGAAAGTTTGTGTGTATGTTTGTGTGTGTGTTTGTTGCTCAATCACGCATTAACTACTGGACGGATTGGGCTGAAATTTGGCATGATGATAGCTCACATTCCCAATTAACATTACAGCATTTTCTTATCTCAAAAACCCTTTCGGGCTCCGCCCCAGTGGCTCTGTAGTTCCCCATGTTAATCTTATGATTTTTCATATTTAAAAGGAACGAGGTGTTAGCCCGTCCTACGTACGGGAATTCAGTAGTCAGTTAAAACCAGTCAGTGTACAATTCAGATCAGCTAGTTTAAACATAAAGACAAAGTTTCTTGCAGTTTTAATGTGAAAAATCATTTTGTAATCAAATGTTGTGTGACCAAATATGTTTTTTTCCATCATAGGTCTATACGATATACATTTTAAATCCGATAATTTTACAATAAAACAGCAATTCTGCAATTTTTACGATGTGTAAAGCGTTGAAATAAGATTTGCAGCCGATTCCCACAGACGCACACTGATTATAAGTAGCCTACAGTAGAGAGAGTAATAGAATAGTCAATTGAGAAGTGTATAGACCTAGTCAACGATACCACCTTCCATAGCATACCTGCCTCTTCCATAATTATTATCACCACAATACAACTACTATACACAATTTCCAGTAGGTCTGAATAGAAATGACCTAAAATAAAACGATAATATCCAATAAAATTCACAGTACACATAATTTAACTTTGGTGTCCTAACATCAAAACTAATCGTCACACCTATCCTTTATATCCATTTCAGTGCATTAATTGCTAAATAAAAAAGCGTAAACAAAGAAAAGTAAAACCAATAACAGTTTGTTTTGAAACAGCTGTTTGGTTCAAATAACATTCATTTGAAAAAAAGAACTGGTCATGTAGCAGGAATATAAAAAGTAAACACGCTAGTAAAGCTAATGACGTGATTGTCAATGTTTATTATCCATACCGTTATCAGTTCTATCCTTGATAATTACCCACCCTCATTGAATAAATGTACATCGTAATTTCCCATATTAGTTAATTTAAACTACAATATAAGTTATTCATAGTTGAAATAAAAGTGATATTTTCACAACTGTACACGATTTCATAAAAGGATGGTTTGTCTAATTGCAGTATCCTAGGTCAATGTTGACGTTGTGTTCAATCTATGTCATCCATCTGTTTATCTTTGTATAAAACCCGGTTGAGGTTGTGGTGGTAATTTCAAATCGTGATTCCTGATTATTTATCTTCTTTTTATGACATCAATATTTCCGGGCCTAATCCAAACAAAGTTAAAGCAGACAAACATTATTGTAAACAAAAAGCTACCATGAAGAATTCAAAATTGTTATTTTTCTAATCTTTCCTTGAAAAGTGTAGCAGTAAAATAATTTGCATTTATCCTTTTTTATTAAGACTCATGTACAGAGCCTCGATTAGTACTGTGGTTTAATTAGTTTTGGTTCAAACTGTGGTCTGAATTATCTCTACTAATCTAACTTATTTCCTATAATCAATGACAAAATAAGAGTAAATAAAATAACCTCATAGTTCCATAGTTTATATTTAACCAGCTGTTAGTTAAAACAAATTATATTGCTCTAAAACAAATAGAAGATTACAAAGATTGCTTTAAAAAATAATTTGAACATCCTAGTATTTTACTATTTATATTTAATTAATCTGCCATCCTCTTACAGAAGAATTATTGAACCTATCATTGATTAGCATTACACATAGTATAAATAAGTCAACCCTAAGTATGTCTTTACATTTTTATCCAAATGCTGAATTTGTGACACAAAAGCTGGATGTTTACAGCTGTTATGTTACACAAATTATTTTATGCCAAAAGCTAGTTTAGAATCTTAGCGTCGGCAGCTAGACTTTAAAAAAATTAAAACTTAATTTCTAAAAAACTGGGACCCTAAACTAAAATTATGGCTTCGACATTCCCTAGTTCTCAAAATTATCTTTCTTTCAACACAAAAATCATAAAAATCCGTCGAGTGGTTGATTCAGAATCGTGAAATAAAAAAAAACACTGTTTCGTTTTAATATTATAGATTAATGAATCTTAACAGCTGTTTCAATTAAACAAGTTGGTTCTGTTCTATGATGTGCAATAGCATAAAAGTTACAAGGATTACCAACAGCACTATTAATTTTTTTTAAATTTATGACAACAGCTAATTTCCAACCAAAAGGTGATTGAGCGTAGCGAACGAACTTCAACCTGGAGTCGAGTTAGCGTAGCGAACGAGCTAACCTGAAAGCAAGTGAGCGCAGCGAACGAGCTCCAACCTAAAGGTGAGTGAGCGTAGCGAACGCACTTCAACCAGGACGTGAATGAGCCATGCGAATACTTATGAAGTTAAACGGGGCGAAACCCGCGGGTACAGCTAGTTTAATATAATGCTACTAGGAAACCTGTGTGGCTCAATGAGCCGTAGTAAGAAATGCAACCCTTCTTAACAAATTATATTTCCAAATAAATTTAAATGTAAAAAAATACAGTCCTGTCCCATCTTTAGTAGCCTATCACTAATTGTGGTGAAAATAACTAAAATCTTATCGTAACATTTTGGCATATTGCTACAAAGTATCATTATTTTAGTGTTTGTTTTTATAATCACAACTTGTGACAGGTGGATACGTTAAACGCTCTGACTGACAGCAACCGAGTGTTGCGAGAGGAGCGAGACCGGCTGGTAGAGCGTGCGGCGAAGCTAGAGAAACAGTTGGCAGCAGTGGACACAGACGTGGTTGCGCCATACAAGGAACAGTTGGCAAAACTGAACAACCAGGTGGATCAGCTGGCTACAGAGAATACAGCACTCAAGGCTGAGGCAGCTAGGTATGATTTGGATAGAAGTATTTAGTTGTAGGGATGGGACGATTGTCGGTTTTAGCAAAAAACCTGAAACCAAGAATTGATGTGTTATTGAGCAATCATTTTGTGGCCGAGGCAGTTGGTTAGGAGGACACAAAAGGTTTATAAGATGTTTGTTTAGGACTTTCGTCATTTATTACTATGGTGATGATGCAATAAAAAAAACCCCTAATAATAATAATAAGCAGTCCCAAACCCATTAATATTTTATCATGACATACTCAAGACCAATTTAAGTTACTCAAGGTCAATTTAAGCACTTCAAAGAATTCGTTGAGCCAAGCTCATAATTTATTACTTTGATTGTTACTCACTTTTATTCTTTCATGATTTAATTTTTAATTAGGTACTATTATGAAATCCAAAACTTTTTTGATCGTGGAAATAATAGTTTTATAAAGTTATTAAATTTTGCTTCTGATGCCTCAAACAGTATTTTTGTCGTGAACATTCAATTTACGGCTGCCTATTGCCTACTGCCATACAATTGTTTAGGGGTTCAGATTACACTTGTAACTAGTCTACAGTTATATTTATAATTTAAAATTATTTATATATTTTATCTTCCAATTAACAAAACCACAATCATTTTTGTTTGCATGTTTTTATTGTTATGCAGGCCTACTTGGTGTCAAATAATGTCATTGCATTTTCTGTCCCTTTTGTCTTGTAATATTTATTGTTAAGGTTTAAATTAGAGATGGGCCGATACCAAAAATTTTCGATACCGATACCGATACCAACCAAAGTACTCTCGATACCTATCGATACCGATACTTCCGATACCTATCTTTTTTGCACAGTTTCTTCCACTAATAATATTATAAACTGTTATACCATAAAAAACACAATATGTATGTGTATCAAACTTATATTTTGGTGTTAAAGGTTTATTATTAATTGCAAAAAACAATTGCGAAAATATGGAACTAAGTGTTTATTTTAAAATAGGCCTACTGTAAATGTTTGAATTTGACTAAAGCATGAGATTTAATAAAGTTTCCTCTAATTTATAAATAGGCTTATATAAGTATTTATCTGTCATTTGTCAGTTTTGGTATTTATTTGAAATTGCATCAATTGTCTTAGTTAACTCATTAAGCTTTAAATTTAAAAAAGATTATGTACATCTTGGCCTACAAATACTCTGTAAGTTTTTTTTCCCCTAAGAGAGTAAAAACGAACTTCCTATATAATGAGAGTGTCTCACTAGTTGTATGAAAAAACAGTTATATCTTCAAAATTTGTTTAACTATGAAAAAGTCACCAAGTCTAGCTGAAAACACATTCATAAATGAGGATATTTTTGAAATACAGAATAACTAATCAAACAACCTTTTTATTTTTAACACTTTTATTTCTTAACTTTTCTTCCTTGAAAATGTCAACAGTTTTTCACTTATTTTTAGTAAAGATTATCACTTATAATTTCTCAAAAGAAATCTATGTGTGAGCTATGAAGAGCAGACAAGAGACATACGTCACTGCCACAAAAACTATTCTCTACTGTGAATGAATGAACTGAGTGTTTATTTAGTGTGAAGCCCCGCCCACCGTCTAACGGGACATGGGGTAGGAAAAGGGACATGGGGTAGGAAAAGAGAAAGTTTGCTCTAAAGCCTGGTTCACATGCCCTCCCTTACCCTCGGCGTCAGTCGCTTGCAGATTTCCATCACACAAACAAACGTTTCTGAGTGTTAATTATTTTAAAACACTGTAAATGTTTGAATTTGACTATGATGAGATCTAATAAAGTTTCCTCTAATTTATAAATAGGCTTAGGCCTACAAGTATTAATCTAAGTCGTTTGACAGTTTTTGTATTCATTTTTAAAAGCAATTGCAGTTATACTTTAAAAAAAACCACATACATCTTGGCCTATAAATACTTTTTGTAAGGAGAGTCTTTTCTCTATAGTGAGTAAAACGATCGTGGTCAAGGAATGACTGTGTTCAAACAGCACACTGTCAATTTTCTATTTTTACAAAAGTATTTGGACTAAAACCTGGTATTTTTTAAAGAGATTGTAGAATAAGTCGACGTATGTGGAGAAAAGTATGGCAACAGATTAGTTTTACTTTTAGCCTACAATAAAGATTATGTTTTTTTTTTTTTTTAAGAGGTTGGCGGCCTCTTTTAACCTTGCATTTGCCTGTCCACATGGACTACAGATCTGTGCGTGGAACGTATCCAGCAAAGCAAGGGGTGAGCCGGTACAGTACAAAGGTGAACTGTACTGATAAAAGTTAGTGGCAGTGACCAGGATCCGAACCCACGACACTACTGCCTTGGGCCCGAAGTCCGCGACGCTACCGACTGAGCCACCGACTCACCAATCCACCAATCCTCACAACCTCACCAATCTTTGGGTTTTGGGACTAGAATCTCCAAAAGAGTGCTTTTATAAAACATGCCATAGTTTTATTTAACAAAAGTGTTTGACTATGTTCCCGATGATACCAAGAGTATAGGTTTGGCAGAGTGGATTCACTGTGAACCGGCCTGCCTGGCCCTTATGCACGATGTCACTACAACTTCCGTGTAGGGGTGTCAAAAATGGATCGGAACAATCGATGTTTTGAACCTGTCTGTAACTAACCTAGTTTTTTTACACTTTAATACTCATTATGCATAAACGAACACGTACTACATATCGGATCTCGAATCACGATAAATTATCGATACCCTTCCCACCCAAAAAATAAGCAGTAAGCACATAAAACGATGTCTAAGCAATTGTCATTTGATCCATTGAAACACGAAAGTCGATTGGCTGACATGGTAGTGCATTGTCGCCTCCTGGCCAATGAGAACTGTTGTCACATACTTTTATTGTCAACATTCACCATTCGTTATAACATTACAAAATCTACATGGAATACACACTCCGGACAGCTCGCCTTGACTACTTCCTTCACCACGTCCTACATCGTGGACCTGTTTTCCTCCCTTCCCATAGCATTTTAGGATTGTAGATACCTTAATCTAATCGTCATAAATAGGAAATATGGAGTGTGGAAACACTCCAGACAGCTCGCCTTGACTACCTCCTTCATCACTTCCTACGTCGCGGACCTGTTTTCCTCCTTCCCTTAGCATTATTGGATTGAAAATACCTTAATCTATTGGTCATGAACAAATCCCACATTCCGGACAACTTGCCTTTACTACTTCCTTCACCACTTCCTACGTCACGTACCTGTTTCCCTCCCTTTCCATAGCATTTTAAGATTGCAGATACCCTAATTTAATCGTCATAAACAGTTCCCACGCTCCGGACAGCTCGCCTTGAGTACTTCCTTCACCACCTCCTACATCGCGGACCTGTTTTCCTCCCTTCCCATACCATTTTATGATTGTAGATACCTTAATATAATCGTCATAAGCAGTTTCCACACTCCGGACAGCTCGCCTTGACTACTTCCTTCACCACTTCCTACATCGTGGATCTGTTTTCCTCCCTTCCCATAGCATTTTAGGATTGAAGATACCTTAATCTAATCGTCATAAATATATCCCATACCCCGAACAGCTCGCCTTTACTACTTCCTTCACCACTTCCTACGTCGCGGACCCGTTTTCCTCCCTTCCCATAGAATTCTTGGAATGCAGGTACCTAAATCTAATCGTCATAAACAGTTTCCACACTCCAGACTGCTCACCTTTACTACTTCCTTCACCACTTCCTACGTCACCGACCTCAAGCTAGTGTCGTCATTTGATTATATTTTATGATCCATACCGTTTTTGTTCTAATATCTGTGGAATAATGCTATCGGCTATTTCTTTATGTACTGCGTTCAAAAGTCAACAGCTGATCATATGTATTTGTTTATGTGTCAAATACTGCTTCCATAAGGATTACATTGAAACTTTGAGACCCAGTGGGGCGGATTCCTGAGAGACTTTTTTAACGCCATATAGATGTTGGCACTCACCGATATGGTCTTTATCACCATGCAAAATTTGAAAACGATTGATTCAGCCGTCTAGGAGGAGTTTGCGTATTACGAAATGCATAAGAGTCGACGTATAAGAGCTTCGCTCGCTCCGCTCAAAAAACATAAAACTATAACGATAAAAACATAAAAACACGTAACAAATAACCCGTGTTTGAGATGCTTCCGCATAATTGGGAAAGTTAGTTAAAAATTCTAACTAGTTAGAAGTTATTAGTTAGTCCCGTAAAAAGTAACTGATAGAAGTTATTAGTTAGTTAGTTTTAAAACTAACGAATAAAATAGAAGTTATCCAAAAAAACTAACAAATATTGCTATTTGTTATTCCCAAGTATGTTGTTACTGTAGGTGGCATGTTAAGACCTGAACCCGGGACCGACATATAACATTGTAGGCTCTCAAGAGTAATTTACTTACTCCGTAAGCTAAAAAAATACATCTCTAGACACTACCTACGTATTGCCTACTTTGCCTTCTTTAATAATGTTTTAGTATTTTAGATCTTGATCCTCTTTCACACAGTTGTAACATTGTTTTCAGCAATATTAGGAAAATTGTTATTGAAGTAGTCTGCTAGTTTTATTTTATTTATGGATTTGTATAGTTTGCCTTGTTTGATACAGATGGCGTAGCCGAGCCAATGCTCTGATAGAAAAGCAAAACAAAAACAGCCCCGAAGATTTTAAACGATTAACCTTGGAAAAGGAGAACTTGACAAAGCAATTGGCTGCATTGACAGAAGAACTGAAGAATACTAAATCAGAAAAATCCAAAGTAGAAGAGCAACTAATGAATGTAAGTACCATTAATCTGTGTTTTATTTGTAATTTTTTGTTTTAGCTGATTTCCCGATAGGGAAGTAGCTATTACCGTGGATGGCACGGTAAGACCTAGGCTTTTACTAGGCGATTTACTTTTTCATTTTGATGTCCCCAGAGGCCAAAAACACTATTCGTTCAGATTTATTATATTAGATATATATATATATCAGATATATATATATAGAGAGAGAGAGAGATTTATATATTTTGTTATTATTAGGGGTCTGTGGTATAGAAAATTTAAGGTCGGTACAGTACAATATTTTGCACCTCGGTTCTCTGTACAAAATCGGTACGGTACGCGGCTACCCGTATTTTTGCGGTTTTCTTCTCAGATATGTATTTGAACCATTATTTAAAATTTTCATACATTGACATCACTATGAAAATGGATAGTATCCTATATTCATGGTTTTCTAACAACAATTACTGTACCACACATTATTAAAACCTTTTACTCCTACGAGGATTGTTTCAAGAAAAATCACAGTTAAGATAAAGGCTTTACCTATTTTACTCTGAGTTACTTTGAATAGCCATGATAAAATTTATTTCCAGCCAACACAATGTCTAGTTGTTTTTTAAACTTAAAAACATATAAAAATAAAAGCATTCAGTACAAAAACAGTGTAGTTGCCAGCTGCTCACATTCAACAAATGACAATGAAAAACAGGATGTTATGATGAAGTAATGGCAAAGAGCATCTTTTTTATTAGCTTGAAAACTAATAATAAGTTAATTACAAAGTTTTTTTTGTTAAACTAAAATTTGGATTACCACAGAGTAATATTTAATATTATTGTCTTTTCATTTACAAAGTTAACATCCACACATATCAATCATTAGTTCATTATCTCAGACTCAATCCAATTTTCTTAGTACATTTGAAAGCTCTTCCAAAGAGTCAAAAAACCCAGGCCTAGACCTAATTATTTAGGATTGCCTATATAAATTGAGTAGGTTACAATGAGGATAGCAAAATCACTATCATAATTCTTGTTCATAAGATTTAGATTGCATAAAGTACCTTCAACACAATAAAAAAATATAGGGAACAAAAAACATTTAAACCTTAACAGCCACATCCAACAATATAAGACAAGATACAGAACATGCAATGACATAATTTAAGACCGAATAGGCTTGCATAACGGGGGAAAAAAATATGCAAACAACAACAACTACTACGCTTGTGGTTTCATCGATAGAAATATAGAATATCCATTACATATATCTTAACTTAGGGCCATGTCATACGAGTGCTATTGCCGTCGCGTTAAAGTTGCTCCAACCCGGCAATGGGGTTCTTATGGAGCATGTCATACGGACGCTAATGCCGTCGGTGAGTCCGCGTTAGCCGGACGCTGAGCGCAGCCAACGCGGACGGTCGCGCTAGAGGTGCGGCGCACGTGACGCGGGACCCTGTCATACCGAGCGCTGGCGCTAGCGGGACGCATTTGCCTTGTGAGCACTGTCAGAACAACTGGAACACCTTTGTACGGAAAAAAATATTTATTTATTTGAAAATCTGCCACCTCTGTACGATGTAAAGTCGAGTGATTACAGCAACAGGCAACTGAAGGCACAGTGCTGGAAAGAGGTTGGGGAGGCCTTGCACGAAAACTGGAATCAGATGACAGCTGTTGAAAAAGAAAAAGAGTTTTACTTGTTTTATATTTAAATAAAAATTATGCTGTTTTTTTTATTTCTGTCATAAATTCGAAATATTGTTTTTGTGTATTTTTTAAAAATAATTTAATGAAGCGAAGCGTATAATAACGATAATCTAAAATGTGCAAAAAGCTGATACAACCTAACTGGATGGTGTCCATCTTGGTAATAACATAATTGCCGCGACGGCAAATGCGCCCGGAAGACGCTACGTATGACAGGCACCTGGCGTTGGCGGGACGGCATCAACGCGACGCATTTACCGTCACGTATGACATTTAATTTTTCCGGCGCTATCTCGACGGCAATAGCGCTCGTATGACATGGCCCTTATAAAATAAGATTGTGGATTAGTTACAACTTGAAGCCGTAAACAGTTTTATGGCAGTAGGCAATGGCTAGCAAAATTTACACTCATGATAAAACTATTATTTTTATAATAAAATAGGATTGGGGATAGTCCTATAGGAATAAAAGTGATAAAACTCAACAGTTCTTGTAAGTACTTGAATACAACAATTATTGTAGTGATAGAATGTTAATGGATTTGGGACTGCTAATGGGGGTTTTATTGCATCATCACCCTAGTAATAAATTATGAAGATCTAAACAAACATCTGATTAGACTTTTATGTGCTCAGAACCAACTACCATTGACTACGATAGTAGATGATAAGTAATTTATTACTATAATAGGCTGTAGAGTAAATTGCTGTACCGATCAATTAAGCTTGTACTTTTTTATTTTTTTATAAAATAAAATGTTTTTAGGGTACTGTGTTATTTTGATTTAGGTACTTAATAAGATTTATATATATACATACATATGTCCGTGAACACGATAACTTGAGTAATTTTTGTCCGATTTTGATGAAATTTGGTTTAAAGGTGTAAGGCGGGATAAAATTGAATGAGATCGCGAACCAGCATGATCGGACCATGGGAACGGGGTTTTATGGGGGCTTTTATGGGGTAAAAAATGGCTTTTCTCATTTTTGACCCTCAAAACACAATATTTCCCAATTTCTCTCTAGACCTTTTTAAAGAGCTTAAAAAAAAAAAAAAAATTAGTATATAACAGGGTTTTTGTACGGTTATTGGAAATGGAGAAAATTCAAAAAGTTGTAAATTTAAAATTCCCATGTTATTCTTATGGAGAATATTGTAGACTGTTGTAGTTTGCTTGTTTATGGATATATTTTGATCAAACTTGGCAAATTTATTTATTTTATACTAAGCTATTAATATTTTGCTAAAAATACACTTTATTAGTTTCAGTTTCCTTGTAGCAGCAAACCTAGGTACTCATTAAACCTAAGGTTATTTAAATAGATTTAATTGAAAATCAATTCAGACGAATGGAAATTCGCTTAGTCGGCAGGTTTGCTGCGGAGGGGGTATTTAATTTTAAATCTAAAACATGAGAATTTGTCTTCTTTTAACATTTAACTATCCAACAGAGGCAAATTAGGTGCTTATAAGAACAATCCCAATATTAATAAATAGGGATGGACGGGATTGAATTTTTAGTTCGGGACGGGACGGGACGGGATTTTTATTTCCTTCCCGATTTTCGGGACGGGACGGGACGGGATTTTTTTCTGTTCATAAAAAGAAAGTAGAGTTCGTGCGTTTCCTGATGAAGCCTGGGGGTAGGGTTGAAGCCCATACAAAACCGGTTTAGAGCCACTCTAACCACCCACCCTCCAGGCTTCACCAGGAAACGCACGAACTCTACTGTATTGCAGTTACCAAAAAATACATACGAAATCAATTTTTACCATTTGTGGCACTGATCTATAAAAACCAAAAAATGGGTAACAATTTACAGGTACCTATAGAAACTTGTGACTCGCGGGTCACGGGGTGATCGTCTGTATGACTCACGGTCACGGCGCGATCGTCGTCATGACTCGCGGTCACGGCGCGATCGTCGGTATGACTCGCGGTCACGGCGAGATCGTCGGTATGACTCCGCGGTCACGGGGTTTTCGTCGGTATGACTCGCGGTCACGGCATGATCGTTGGTATGACTCGCAATCATGGATCGATCGTCAGCATGACTCCGCGGTCACGGCGCGATCGTCGTCATGACTCGCGGTCACGGCGCGATCGTCGGTATGACTCGCGTTCACGGCGCGATCGTCGGTATTACTCCGCGGTCACGGGGTTATCGTCGGTATGACTCGCGGTCACAGTGCGATCGTCGTCATGACTCGCGGTCACGGTGCGATCGTCGGTCCAATAATCGCGGCCACGGGGCGATCGTCGTTATGACTCCGCGGTCACTGCGTTATCGTCGAAACGACTTCGTCTCTTGCGTTCGCGGACCTATCGCTCGCAATAACGGCGTTATCGGCACTTGCGAAGCGGAAAAATCGCCGACGATCGGACCAAATCCCGTCCCGAAAAATTCCCGAGTCAAATGTAATCCCGTCCCGATAATCGGGAATATTTTATTCCCGAAAAATTCCCGAAATTTCGGGACCCGTCCATCCCTATTAATAAATGTGTGGTCAAATTGACTGTAATAACTGGTTGCCAGTATTTTTAACTGACTTCCCCACTACCAACAAAAGGAGGAGGTTCTCAATTTGTTTGTGGCAATGTTTTTTTTTTCTATGTATGTTCACCAATTTCTCTGTGATTCTTTTACCGATCAGTGTGGTTCCACCACCAAAATAACCAGGAGAGTTTCTATTTGGTCCCATGTATAGCATTATGTTTAAGTGTAATATTTATTTTGGTAAAAAATCCTGAAAATCTGAAATATTCAAAATTTTTTTTGTTTATTTTTGCAGAGAAGGCAATCAATAATAATAATAATATTCCTACAGCTGTTAGTTGAAACCATTTAAATGAAGCTAATGAAACAGTTTTTATTTTTTTGAAATGTGTTTTGAGGTTTTTATGCTGTCTGCTCACTTGTGTCAAAACTTTCATATATCTCTTATATTAATACGTGAGGGCTGTTTTTTGTGAACAAAACTCCTCTGTTATTTCTTGACCGATTTTAAAGTTTGAGGTGTCAAATGATTCGTCTCAATTCGTAGTTTTGCATAAAGGTTTTAGAATTAAAAAAAAATATTACCCTTAAGGGCACAAGACGCTCTCAAAGGTCGCATTTCCCCATAAGAATTACATTGAAAACAAATTTAAAAACAAAAACAGCTGTACATAAAAATAAACTCACCAGCTTTTTTGGAGTAAATATTGATGTTTGTAATATGTATGAGGTTATAAACAAATCTAAACAGTCAATCAGTTTTGTTGGAAGAACAGAAAATTTCTTGAATTTAAAG